CTCGTCAATACCTCGGAAGAGCTTTCGCACGCGATCTACTGTGGTTTATCCCGAAAATAATTATTAGGGAGTGTTTCCTCGGCTCCGAGTGGGTTGAGCTCCACTTTCATCAAGCCGGAGATGTGACAACGAACCGTTCTCCTGCAGCCAGAAGTGATCGGATTTTGGGGCCGGCCGGCGCGAGATTTATCTACCGAGTTCGAATTCCCTGACCCCCACTGGCAAGTATCTATCAGGGACCAGGATGCCCCTACAACTTCCTGTGCCCTCCAGAACCGGAACCGTGAGTGTGTTTTCCATGTAGTGTGTTTTACTGTTTAATTCGCTGGATGACTTCGTTTGCTCTATGAGTCCGAAGTTTCGTTCGTGAAGAGATCGAGGATCAGATTGGCTCAATGTTCTGTGACAGATTTAAAGGGGTTGTGGACTTCCGCTTCGTAGACGAGATCGGGGAAGAACTCGCTTGCCTCTCGAAGACTGTCCGAACGAGGAGATCATTCCATTCAAGATGAATGGAACAAGTCTCGTGTCGTCCCGGTCCCGGCTTCAGACATGTTCGTGAGGGGGATTCGATGAATGGTCGCGGAATCGACTTTGGGTGGATTTGAGAGACGTCGAAGCGTTGGACTCTTGCTAGGTGAGTGTCGGTCTGGTGAATGTCTCCATTGATGATCATGACTAGATCAACACTCATCTACTGAGGCCCAGTGTCAACCAGTTTTCGCTCGCTCGTCCGCTCGATCGTTAGTTCGTTCATGTTCCATTGTTGTTGCTCTCGGTGTAACGATCGCAACACAATCGAACACTCGTCTGAAGTCTGGGAAATTTCTCTCTCTTGATGTTGGTGCAACGCTAAATTTTCTCGCTCGACCGCCGCCTCGAGCAGGTCAGCGATACATATCTGTCATCTGTCACCTGCCGAGAATGCTGTCTGTCGTTCGACTGGCTGTAGTTCGACCGTTCGCTCGAATTCGTGGATTTCTCCGAGGACATGAAACTTCCTTGGAGGAAGATATTATCCCAGCGATTATCGGATACGGGTACTCGTCTCCCCGAGGGATACTCGTTCAATCTTCGGTATACATATCTGCACAGAGTGCAGACTTTCCTCTTTCTTCTCCCGTCTTCCGTTCTCGACTCGGACGGAATTGTGTTTTTGACGTGGTTCTACTTTTCTTGTGAAAATCCGTGCTTCTTCTTTCCAATCGTATCCCTTCTGTGTGCTAGTACTAGAGCTGATGATGATGATGCTGCTGTGGCCGCGGCGGCTGCCGATACCAGAATTGCTGGTGCTAGCTCGCCAGCGTCGCCGTTGATGCTAGGCAGTCAGTCAGTCGGACAGACAGACAGACCGACCACGGCGGCTTCCAGCTCGACGCTGCCTGCTTTTGTTGTTTCTATATTCCAAGCGCATGCGCGGTCACTACAACAACGGCGCTGTTCTTCTTCTCGTCGCTGGTCCGTCCGTCCGTTTCTTGCTTCGTTGGACGGAGGTTTGCTCGCTTGGCCGGACGGTTGGTCGCTCGCTCGCTGACGGTTGTCGGGAGGTACCGAGCATCACCGCAGCAGTCGGCTCCACGGCAACCTGTGAACGAAACCTCGAAGACCAATGGACGAATCCGACGACGGCGACATTCGCACGGTGTCATCGCATTCCAAATCGTCGCAGTGATCGTCGGCTCCACGAATCTTTTGAATGAGGTGTCGGATGAGTGTATATATGGTGCATTTCATGTTGAATCCAATGACTAGATACACACTCATCCGAGGCTACTCATCGAAAACGGTCATTTTCCCTCACGCGCTGGAGCAAATCATCGGCGTGAAAATGTGATGTAAATTGTGGATGTCCGATCGAGAACGTGCGGGGGCCTGTCGCCATTCCCGTCGAATCGAAGCCAGAGCTAACCACCGGCAAAGGGTTCCTCACCGTAAGGTCTCGCCGCGTCGAAATCGGACTATCCTCCAGTAGGTAAGTCTTCAATCCAATTAGCGAACGAGATCACAAAGTTCGCATCCATTTAATTCATTTACTCATCCGCATATCCAGTAAGTAATGTCGGACAGACGCACCATCGAAGCAATCGAGCGACGACCCGGTCATATCATCGGATACATCACGTCATCGACATCCATACCGAACAGTGTGCTACCGCAGACGACTCCGCGCTGTGTGCGAGCGTGCGTCTTTCCAGCAATCGATAATTTCAGGTCCGAACGTTCGCAGTGATTTACTCTCTTGAGTCGGAGTTCGTGAAAAAAAGGGTATGGATGTCGGTATTGACATGGGTATTTTTACGCTTTCGGAAGCACGGCAGAGGGCAGAGTCGATTTACGTGGTGGAAATTAATCAAATGTATCAGGGATTTTCTGATCGATAATAAACGTTCCGATCGTTGCTCAGGCATGTCTGTTTGTTTTGATTCCTTTCTCTCGAACCTATAGAGGCAGGAGTCCCTAGTTCAGAGTGTCGTTCGTACCGCGGTCGGCGCCTTTTACCGGACAGTCGTCAGTCATGAGCAGTCCCGCAGATTCGACAGCATGTTATGACTAGCGGTGATGACGGATATTATTTATTACTTCGAATTAGTCACTCAGCTCAAATCGTGCGCAGAGTCGAACCCTGAAGAGAGCTCATATTTCCTTCCGGTTCCCCCATCCCAACGAGACTCGAGCTACATCTCGAAATTCACATGAAATCCAGCCGAGATGCGCGCCGCGACGGGGCATCTATGAAAGATTGAAAATAATATAGGAATGGGCTTCGCGTCTGAGAGAAGGAATTGATGGTATCGAGTTCCTTGCCAGAATCCTCCACCCCCGGACGGGTAGCTCTGGAGCCGAGATCCCTCGAGCGATCCCTGCGAGGGGATCGCGGTCTCGGGGCAAGTCCAACTGAGCCATCGAAGGAAACGTATCTCCCTGCGTCAGAGGAAACTTCATGTCGGATCGGTGCTGTGGAATTTGAGCGAAACAAGCGAGAGGGCAAGCACCGAAAGACGAACAATGGACAATTCGTTGCCGTTGCTTCAACGAGTGAGAGAAAAAGAAAGATGCCGTGGCAAGCTTTCGCTCTGAACTGGTTTTTATGATGCTCGCCCTCTCGGTGGCCTTTACTTGGCCGGACACCGCGAAAGTTATACGGATCGTTGTTGTTCCTCGTCGAGCTCCGCTCCTAGTCCTCTCTGTGAGCTAGCTTCCAAGAGCAGCAGCAGCAACAACAACAGCGAGCGACGTCGGGCTGAGTGACTGAGACAAAATGGCAGAGTGGTCGAAGCGACTGCGAGCAAGCGGACTGGCGCTCGTGAGCGCGAAACTCACCTCGCTCCGCACTTTATTCGAACGAAGAAAAAGTGGAATGTTCCCAGAACTTCGCTAGCGACTACACAGATACACGAAGACGAACGGGCAACTTGGCCGCTTGACTCTATTTCAGCTTGACCAACAAGCAATATTTTTATAGGGGCTTTTGCTCGCCAACAGAAGTCTTCAAAAAAGAAGAAGCCGAAAGCCAGTCGGTCCCGCCTTCGACTCCACGACTGTGGCTACGACTTGGTCGCTTCCTGCCTACTACGTTGGTCGTTTACTCCGTTCTCCTCTTCTGCCAGCCATTCAATGTCTCATTACAACGCTGGAAATGCCGAAAATACCTGACGAGAAGGCTTTCGAGCGCCTTCATTGGGAGACTATGTCGAAACATTCGGACGATGAGGCAATGGGAGGAGCAGGGCTCGCCACGCTTCTAAAAACCTATGCCAACAGAATGCAAGGCATTCGACACCCAGAGCAGGCTGGTCCTATAAAAACCGATCGCCTCGATGAGAGCGCGGATTCCCGACCGGTTCTCGGAGCAGTAGCTCCTCGCCGCTTCAGTACGCGAGCAGATGTTGAAATCGGTGCCGATAGTGCATCATTCTTCTCGAGTCCTTTATCTAGGATTAGGAGTGTCGGCCCCTACCGGCGCGCGGCTATGACGGTCCGCGAATAGCGAAAAAAAATCCGCGTTTGATTGCGATACATCGCCGGTCTGTAAGCGCTTCTGTACACTTCTCGCTGCCTTGCTGTTACAGCCATATGTCTCCTCGGTCGGAATGGATGCTCGTGAACGCTCCCGAACTGACTCGAAGATTAATTATTGAGCAGACTATCCACTGCCTACGCAACCGCTGTCGGAGCTGAGGATTTCGAAAAAACGTCGCTTGAAGCAATACAAACAAGCGAGGCGGAATCAGCGGCCGTCGCGGCGGGACGGAAAATCATCTCAAAGAACAGGCGAGCAATTCCCCGAATTCCTCGATGATTCAACCGTGAGCGTGAAGTTCACTCGGAGCTCTTGGCGAACACGCGAGTCCGATTAGTTCATTCGGTCGGAGGAGCGCGGGCTTTTCCCGCCGACGCTCGAGGGAGATACTCTCATCGACAGGCCGACGATCTGCCGTGAGCTTCTCGACTATCTCTCGCATCAACTTCATAGTCAGCTCAAGAGAAGAGCTTCTGGGGAGACGATTGATGGCATTGCGCCACACTGACGCGTGTCACTCGCGACGGAATCGAGCTCAGCACTATTCACACCGCGCCGTAAAACCCGATCTACAGAGCACTCTGCAAGCGCCTCGAGCAGAAGTCTATAAATCCCCTTGTTTTCTTTCTCTTGACGAAGAATGAGGGGAAGGAAATACGTTGAGCGCCGGGTCGGTGAGCGAGAATATGGACTCCTCCGTCGATTATCATCATCATACCTATTGACCCGGCGATCTCACCGATGGCGAGCGGCTGGGGCACTTCCGGTACCCGCCTGGATGGGTATATATCCATCGGGCAACTAGAAGTTGGTTTAAGTCTCCTGCTCTTGGAGGATGCCAACAGACCGAGAGTTCGGCCACAAGCGCTGAGGGCTACCTGTTTTTTTAGTATGAGCTTGATGAATGGACCAAATAAATAAATGCCCTCATCGCGTTCCTAGAGCAGATCAGTGATATGCGCCCCTCATCGAGTTCCTCAAGTTTATTCGAGTCTCTTTGTTTCGTAGAAGCCTTTCTGACTTGTACTTTATGTATAATGGGTCATGTTATGCTAGTGGCTTCCTGGATCCAGAATGGATGTCGTCCAACGATTTCAAGATACATCGTCGGAGATCGATTGCGGCGTAGGGGGTAGAACATTCACTTCAATCACCCTCCGCGGAATTCTTAGCTTATTCCGAGTCGTAGGCGTGCTTCCCCTCATTGCCCGTCGTCTCCTAGTGTGTTCACGAAAACCGCATGAGAGATCGGACCTAAAAAGACTCAAGTTCTACTTAGCTATACATACAAGCGACTCTATCTAAGTAGTAGACAAAGTTGATAGTCCTTTTGACCGTTTCGGACAATTCTCCGAGCTGATCTTTCAAACAAACTAATGACAGCGTCGTCAAGGCATCTCTAACTGCAGTTGGACAGAGAGTCCGCAATCCCGATCAGATCTCGGCGGCTTTCCAAGCGTAATGCTCCCTGCAAACACGAATAATTTTGTGGGGCCTAAGATTTTCATCGACTCGCAAAAATGGAAAAGTACCCGACCTGCTCACCCTGAGCTCTTTGGGTTTGCCCGAGAACCAGATCCGGTAAAGGCTGGCTAAAATGACCAGAGCCAAAACAGCAGCCACGGCCGAGAGTATGGCGATACGACTGATGACAGAAATTCCCTGGAACCTCTTCAGAGGGACGGAAACATTAATGACCACAAGATCCGCAAGGGAATGAGTTGCGTCTCGCTGACTGTGATAACGTGAGGAGCTGTTCATACCATGATAAAGGCGAGAGAGGGGAATCAACCTACTTCGAGAACGTAATGAGATCCGTTTGCCGCTTTGTCGCCTACGGTATTGAACCAATCGTTCAAAACCTCGATCAAGGTCCTGCATGAAGGTGCCACGCCCCACTGTGAAGTCGCTTCGTCACAGTAAACTCGCGAGTCTCCCTGTTGAATTAATCCGCTTCGTAGAAGTCGACACACCAACGAACTTACTCGAGTGTCAGGTCTGGAGGGCGAATCCGCCACCGTACCTTGACGAATTTCCCACGCATACACGAGTAGTCAACAGAAGAATTTGATTGTGCCCAAGAGAAGGCATCCTTGACCGACGGTTGCCTGCCACACTTGAATTTGTGACACTCGACATTCCCTGGAAGCGTCGTCTCCGACTATTAATTACTTTCTCTGCTTCTGTGTCTCGATGGGGGGATCTCACAAGGGGAACACCATGTGTTAAGAATTTTTCTCTAGAATCACCTCGTATTTCACCGCTCGGCTCGCAGATTGGAGGCTCATTGGCTTCCGGATAGTACCCTTCGGAACAACCGACGTTCCGGAGGCTCCGTCCAGTTTTGAGTTTACCTGAAAAATTTAATCCTCCGAGAAAAATTATTGAGGGAATTTCTGCTCGTTCTATAAGTCCTCGGGAGTTTCGCCAGAAAAACGGAAAGAGATATGCCCCGCCTCAATCAGTTGCTGCGTTGAACTTTATTTTATCTAGCGACTGTCCCCCTAGAAGCTCTCCCGAGTCCGCAACGAAGTCAGAAGTTATCATGCTCCGAGTGGACTTAGGTTTCACGAGCATGCGAAAAACAGACAGATTGTTACGTGGACTTACCAATGACTTGCCAGTCATGGAATGCTCTAGGAAGATGAGGTCTCCCGCAGGTCACAACATTGTAGGCACAAATCACGTGATTTGGTGATTGGCATTCCGATCTACCGAAACCGCTTCTCGAGCTCAAAACGTAGCAGGCCCCACTGCTGGAGTCGTTCGATGCTTCAGTCCGATTCCCCAGTTTCGCCTTGGAAATTATCCGGAATTTAGACTTGTTTCGCGATTCTATCTCGGACATGAAGACGGGAAAAGAGACAAATCTCACAGACGTTCGACAAGTTTTCTACGCTCTACGTCTCGACCGCAAGGAACTCTCAGATGCTCCAAGTCGTTCCTCGCTTCTGATCGACGTTGAGTGATCAGCGAACAACACATGGCAAAATTCACCGCTTCTGTGAGGTTGAGGTCAAGCCAGAAAGGCGATCCGAGGAAAATCGTTTCACCGCGCCACTTGAGGTAATCCAGGGCTCGCTGATCCGTGTAAGCTCCTCCGATGAGATAACCGCCGGCGTTGTAGCAGATCGATCGGGCATCACTGATCGAAACAGATTCGATGTAGTGGAATTCGAAACATGTGCCCTGGATAAGATAATGAATTCTCTTGGAATCGCAAACTCGAGAAAATTAAACCATTCAAAAACCACCTATAGACACCAATAGTGGCGATGGAGAACGGCAGTGCCGTTCGCAGCTGGATGGAAGTCTTTCAAGAATAGAGTCAGTCTCCGAGTTCGGTAGTCCTACATTAAATGCATCCTTGATCGTATCTTTGTTTCCTTGAGGACACGCATCTTCATGGGACAATCCCGACGAAGCATAAGCCTTCACCGTGCACAAAGGTACGAATCCATGCTTCGGGTCGACGTCCACTCGGATATAACTGGAAATCGAGCCTTGTCAGATTTCAAAGTCAATCCATCTCGGAAAGGGTGGCCCCTGAGCTTGCCGAAGTCGATATGAAGCCCTCGAATGGGCGGTTCTGAGCCGTGCTACCGATCATGATCTACCTCCCAAATGTCGGTTGAGATCTGCACTTGACGAAGTAAATTTCGTTTGCTTGTATCTCTCTTTCGATCACAGAGCACATGCTCATGTGAGGATCCTCGCTGCTCCTCGCTGTTTTCTCTCCTATTTGTATTGACACCGCGTTCGCAGGGACCTTGCTGCCGAAAACCAATCTGAGGATCTGAAACGGAATAGCGATGATGAACGTTCATTGACGTTCGGGAGTCTCGGTAATGAAGTTCGCGGCGTACAAGAACTAACCGTGATCGTAGAATATTCGAGGAGGTCGATCGACCAGTGGTTCGCGGCTCCCGTACAGGTGGTGTCGTTTCCGTCGACCGCCAATTCTGACTTGAAGTCGATTCCGAATGGTTCGGTCTGCTTAAGGGGCTTCCCCAATGCGACGTCCCGCACGCAAAGTGGTGCTCCTAAGTCCCACTTTCCGCTGACGCAGGTCAGATTCTCCGGTCCCAATAGATCATAGCCAGGGGAACAAGCAAACCTTCCGGGATAGAATAGTCATCTCTCTTGGAAGACGCGGATAATCGCAGATCACGAATCTCTTTGCTCAAGAATTCCCTGTCGCTATGGCGCACAAGATGCTCCGGTCAGCTGGCAACGGTAGAGAGTAGTCTGACTTGGATGGAATCTCTCCCGATCGAAAGAATCGAAGAACACTCACTTGGCCACTGATCCATTTGGGAAGTTCTCGGCGAACCCCGACAAGAAGCCGTGCTTTGGGCTGCCTGGGAAGTGGCATGAGGAATCATTGGCATCCGCCTTTGAGTATTCAAAAATTTCACAGAGGGTTAGAAGGAACAGCAGTTTCCTCATGGTGGGGCGCGTTAGGAGTCGGCCTCGGTTCCTTCGGCTGAAAATATCGCCGCTCAGGAACGCACGGAGTAAATATCTACTTCTTCATGTGGCTATTCGAGCAGACGTCGCTCGTCGAGACGTGCAAGCATCCCGGGAAGACAAGATGTTAGGCCCTGATTACTCCCCTTACTGATCCCTGATCACTCCGCATACTGATCCCTGATTACTCATATCTGGAAGATGTGCAATCAGCTCACCTCCAACTTGGAACCCTTTGTTACTCATATGTGATACATATCCGAGGATATTTTGCAAATACATACAGGATGGGACCTCTCGCCTCGGCGAGCCCGTACCCGCGGGGTGCCAAGGACACGATATTCTGACCGACGACTGACTTCGCCAGGATGTGATTTCCTCCGTGCGGCTCCGGAGAATCCCTCTCAAACTCGCGTCCTGGAATTCTTGTAAGATCTCGTATTTTCTCTATACGGGTATCGCTACGCGGGGGATTGCCGATCCCGATGGTCAGTGGTCTGACCACCGAGACCCAGTGAAGGTAGAGCACTTATAGGCGCCACAACGAGCCTCGAAAGAAGCACGCATGCGCACGACGGCGAGCAGGCGGTGTTGTGTCCTGTCGGAGTATCTGGAGACTCAGTCAGATTTGTCGTCCCATTCGAGCGCAGGAATGTCGGACTAAGAGATAATGTTTCGAAAATTGAGCGGCCACCTGCTTCGCTGCAGTAGTCAAGTTCGCAGATTATCCGCACAGCAGCGTCAACGCCACGAAGGAGCAGTCAATGGTCGTTCGGGGAGACTCCTGATTGCAGCCGGAGCGGGAACTGCAACAACTTTATACCTTCACTACAGATCAAGGTATCGACTCGCCGAAGATTTCGTATTGACTCTTGGAGAGCTCCGGAACACAGCCGCGGAGCGCATCTCCGTTCCCGACTCCCTCCCCCCCCGCGCGCGTCAAGGCTTCGAGTCGTCGGCGGGGAGCCCACCTAGTCAGCTTTTTCAATGTCGAGCATCGAGTCTCTCCATCTCATGCATTAACCGAGGAATCGGAAATTATCCCCAGGCAACCGCATTTGAGTGGTGGCTTCCTCCCCGAGGTGCAAGCGAAATCGCGTGCTCAGAAGGACGAGAATTCCAAAGCCAATGAGGAGGAGAAAGATGAGAGTTCAGAGAAGATCGGCAAGCCTGGATTTCGGGAAAGAAAGGTCAGTTCAAAGGACCTAAGCGGCAGAGTTCACACGATCCAAAGCAGGCTAGGCTCGACAGACCCTGATCTACTCGGGATTCAGGTGGTGAAGGATCAGTGACGCATCGCGTATTTGTTTCTTGACGACTCATGTTTCTTAATTCTGTTCCAGATCATTGAGTACGAGAATCGAATACGTCAGTACTCAACTCCCGATAAAGTATTCCGCTACTTCGCCTCGATCAAGGTTCAGTTCGAAAACGGAGAAGTGAGTTTCCAGAGTGTGAGCCCGCTGCTCCATTCGCTGAATTTCTGTGTGAGATCACTCGCTGCCGGAATTGATTGAGCAGTTCGCGGCGGCTCATCGCGGAGAGCATCGAATTTAATCTACCGATTTTCCAGGTGGAGATTTTCATGACTCCCCAGGATTTCTTGAGATCCATCACGCCGGGCATCATGCAACCGCAAGGTTATGGTCTCGATCGCTACAAAAAGATCGATGCCAAGGTGAGTCGTCCCGTCCTTTCGATGCCCCGCATTGGGATTGAGGGAGAATTTCATCATGCTCAATATAGGGCTCTAGAGTCCGGTGCTGGGTCTCATTGAGGAAGAATCTCATCATGCTTAATGTAGGGCTCTAGAGTCCGGTGCTGGGTCTCATCATGGTCACTTTTTTTCAGAACATCTCTTCCAAAACGAATCCATGCATTTCGCCAAATTATTCTGCATTCCCGGCTCCGTTCCAAGGAATGTCCGAGAACAGCGTTTTCTATCGTCTGTCCGCGTCGGGCCTGATCTCCTTCTCGGACTACATTTTCTTATTGACGATCTTGTCGGCCTCGAAGCGACATTTTGAGATCGCTTTCCGAATGATCGACCTGAATGGTGATGGGGATATCGACTACGAAGAGTTTGAGAAAGTAAGTCTCGCGATTCGAGGTCTCGCGATCCGTAGAATATCCTCCTGCTGACTGGGACTTCAATCTCCAACTTGGCGTCTATTCCAGGTTCAAGCAATCATCCGGAACCAGACCAGTATTGGGAGTCGCCATCGAGATCATCAGGGCACCGGGAATATCTACAAAGGGGTCTCGTCAGCGCTATGTACATTCTTCTTCGGCGAGGATCTCGACCAAAAACTTACAGTCGACAGATTCCTCGAGTTCCAGAGAGAACTTCAGACCGAAATACTGACGCTTGAAGTATGTCGGACATAAGCATTTTCCAGATCCCATTGCTCCTGAGTCATTGGATATAGGTTTGACAACCACTCGATCTATTACAGTTTTTACGCCATGATCCCAAAGACGGGAAAATTCCCGAATGGGAATTCGCTGAGCTCCTCACGACATACGCAGGATTGAGCGACAAGCGGAAGAATAAAATGATGAAACGTATAGAGAAAGTGAGCAATCCCTCGAAATCGATACCGTCGTCAGCTCGACCGGTGACAAGCTCCGAGTTCAAGCTCAGACCGTCTCTCGAACCTCTGCGTCGCATGTCTGAATCGTGAAACTTTCCTTTCAGCACTTCAAAGACCGATCCGAGGGCATCACGCTCTTCGACTACTTGCAGTTTTTCCATTTACTCAACAATATCACCGAAGTCGACACCGCTCTCACATTCTACCACATAGCCGGTGCTTCAATCGATCCCCCCACCCTGAAGCACGTGGCACAGACAGTTGCTCATGTTGAACTCCGGGATCACGTCGTTGATGTTCTGTTTGCACTTTTCGACGAAAACAGTAAGTACCGAACCAGACGATTCAGAGTCGTGTCGCATCCGTGGGCCGGGGCAGGAGCGGATCCTGAATCCGGAGTTTTCTTCCTAGCGTGTCTTCATCTTTTTGCAGTGGACGGACAGCTCAGCAACAAGGAATTCGTTTCCGTGATGAAGGAACGACTGCATCGAGGTCTCGAGAAACCCAAAGACACAGGTTTCGTGAAATTGCTTTCATCCTTCGCAAAATGCGCAATTCCTAAGAAGGCCACAGCGACTGTTACTGATTTAGCAACATGAATTAATTGTTGGATTCCCGAAGCTAAGATGAAGTGTGCCGAGAATGGGGTCCACCTCTGGGACGAGTCAAGACTCATCGGGCATGTTGGAGGGCTTATTCGCTTCGCGCTGTTTTCTGCAGTAGAAGTCTAAATCAATAAAAAGCTTTAGCCCTCATAATAATCGAAATGAGTGTCGCCCTCGGTGGATGAGTCGAACCCAGAACGGGCATCAGAAAAATTCGAACCCCACAGGCTCCGACGAGCGTCGTATCGGAGCGTGGAGCATGAATTTGACGAACGATCCAAATAAAGGAGGAAATTATCCCCATTATCATTTCGAGTTCTCTGAAGAGGTTCCCCCATCCAAGGACGGGACCCAACCGAAGGAAATCTCCGGAGTTATTGACAATACGAATTTCCTATATTATATTATTGGAAATATTCTGTTTGGATTCCCGTTGATAAATATGCTTGCTCTCGATTTTATTCCGTCGGATATATCCTGAGTCTGGCTTCCCAGAGGCTATGGGGGAGCTCTCTGCCGTAAATTCAGTGAAGCGAAGGTTAACAGGAAAAGCCCTCAGGGGATGTCGAGATCCGGCGAAACTATAGGTCGTTTAGTGAAATTGCAGGACGGAAGCTTCTCCATGTACGATCTCAACGAGAAATTCGAAAAACCGTTGCACTGCAGGAATTTGTCGATCCTCATTTTGAAAGACTCGACAATGACTCTCACGGCTTCAGATTCGAACAGTTCCCCTGCATTCGGGAATTTCTCTCGGTTGTACTCAAGGTCGAACATGAATCCCCAATAGCGCAACTGGGCGTAGGTTTGGAAAGCCTGCGCCTGCAATCGCAGGGTATCTTCGCCACATGCGGGGCAAACGGGAATTTCTTCTTCGTGCAGGTTGCAGAGAACGTCGAGAACTCGATGGTCACACATCTGACAGATGTACATGATTTTTTCGGATTCGAGCTGGAGTTGCTGCAGTTGTTTGGTGAGCTGGTTGCACAACTGATCGACTTGAGGAAGCAAGGGACTGTGGCACTTGCCGCAGTCAGAGAAGAGGAACTTCGTTTGGCCGTCCATATTCTGCAATAGGAACACTGACAATGTAGGAATGAAGAGCTTCCGCGAAGTCCTCGATAAAAGAGCGAGTTGAGCTCCCTCTTCCACTGACCTTGAACACGAAACCATCGACCGATATAGGATTGTCGCATTTCGTGCAATTCACGGTGAATGCTTCAACATTTTGGAAGAGATCTGAATCCAGACTCTGCGGTAACAGGAGGGAAATGCCGACAGCAAGCTCAGAATCGACCATTCCCGATGGGTCGAAGTTCGTTCGTCGGTTGTACTTGCTCGGGTCGAGGCCTGGAACGATTTTCGGTGATGAACGGAATAATCCCATCGACTTCCTCCCGACCGGGGGCGGACATGTTCCGGAAAACCCTTCACAGAATCTCCGTCGAGCTCCTTGGTGACTCATAGGAGATCCCTACTCACCCAAACATTGAGCGACGACAGCGGCGTCGGTTCCCCGGATGGGCTCGATGAGACGCGACACCACAGGGAAAACCTGTTGGGTTAGGTAGTAATTCCTGTCCACCGTGAGCTTGTTCGCAAACTCCTTGGATTCCATCTCCTCTTTACTATAAGCCCGTTGCGTGTGCGGATTCTCCGTGCCATCTTCACAGATGACGTACTGCACCGTATCGCCCGCCCGTAATTTCTTGGCACCTCTCGCGTTGAAACGTTTCGCGACGAGCACGTGTGATTGATTTTTCGCGTCCGGATAGTCCTCGACGTTCTTCGTCAGCTGTTTCGTGATGACATAATCTTCGAATGGCAGGGCGTTATCGTTCACCTTCTTGCCAACCTCCCGCAGATGATCATGGACGGCGTCGACAGCGTCGTCAGCGCTGAGTTCGCCTTTGAGCAGGGTGTCTACAACGAATCGCCCCGTTTTGCGGGCCAGCTCCGACCAATCTCGTCTCACTATATCGAGACCTTTGACTTCGATCTTCCCACCTGCCAACGAACCATCGGGCAGGAAGGTCAGAGTGTGCGCAGCGTATTTTTTCTTCTTAAGTAACAGCATGGATTTGAAGACCCCGTCGACTTCGATCTCTAGACGTTTGTATTGATCGTTGATGGCCTTGCTCAGTTTCTTGCCGATCTCTTTGACTTGGGCTATGTCTCTGGTGCAAGTGTTGATCATGATCGAGTCCGTGTCACCGTATATTATGGAATAGCCCATCGACTCGGCCATGGATTTCGCGCTCATGAGGATATCACGACCTCTTTGGGTGATGAGAGCGGCGATCGGCTTCGCATAGAATCGCGAACCCTGAAAATATTCGGGTAGCTCTCATTTAGATTTCTACCATGAACTCGCCGATGGGACTTCTCAAAAATGGACGAGAGTTCAATTTCAGATCGTCGTGGTCATACCTGGAAACCAAGACAGCCGTACATGGAATTGGCCGTCAGTTTCAGCGCTTTCTGTCTGATATCGTACTGTAGCTTCTTCTCTCGAGAAAGATTCGGCGTCTTCAAGAGATCTTTCACCGTGCGACGATTCTCCACGAGCTTTCGTATTTCGAAAGGGAGGACCCCAGTGTCTACAGTCGCCGGCGGAATCTGGGCTTCCCAATCGGCCTCCGCCGCGGCTGCATTATCTTCCGGCGGGGTGAGCGCGCACGTAGTGAAACACAGGTTGTACTCCTGAATGATCGATGGATACAGAGAGTTGAAATCCATCAATAGCACCATCGAGTCGTAGAAGCCCACTATGGGATCAAGAACGAGACCCCCGGAGTATGCGGGACCCTTCTTCTTGTCCCCAGTTTTTCCCTCGTCTGCTTCGTTCTGTTGCTTCTTTTTTTGCGCACGTCGGCTCTCTTTATCCGGAACGATGAAGTTCTTGCTGGTGAATGCATGCAGTAGCAAGTACTCGTTTCTCAAAGCGCGACCTTTCTGCAGGGTTTGAGTCTGGAAACCGAATTAATTGTGGAATTTGAGCCCCAATCGAGTGTATTTCAATGACCACTGTGGACTCGACGTCTTCGTCTCGCAAACAATGCTAACCAGAGTGTTGCCACAGATCGTCGTGATCTGCGAAGCCAGCGGGAGGATGTTGAGCTCCGCGAGCAGCTTGATTACGAATTGACTCTCGTGCATGATGTGTTTACAGAGCACCTTCAAGGATGGGGTTCTCGAGAGCATCTCCTTGAACGCGTCCGCCGAAATTTCATCGTGATTCGCATTCAGGACGTCGCTGACCAGGTCGCTGAGCTCGTAGCTTTTCGCTTGAATCAGCTCCTTCGCGGACAATTTTGTGTCACAGATTACTCTGCCGGGCAAAAGTTGAGTCCGATCGAGCTTTGATACGTTCACGCTTTGAATGTTCGAGCGGCACAATCGAGACAACGCCGAAGGTTTCACGATTTTGTGGCGTTCCATCGCTGTCAAAATCGCCGGGAGGGTGAAACTGCTCGCATCGTGACCCTGGAATGTTGACGATCCGTAGTCAAAACTCCATGATTTTTCCGAGTCCTTTTTTTGGAACATGCTCATATCGCACAACATACCACGATTATATCCGGGTCGCATTTCGTCATTTGGGAATTGAGTTGAGAAATGAGCATCCTCTCGTTCTCGCACGGCTTGATTTTTATCCTCTCGGAGGCCAATTCTTTCTTGAAATCATAGGGGAGACTTCTGTCGCTAGACGTCGTGACGAAGCAGAAGTGTTGAGTGAACAACTTCGCCGGGGGTGGTTTCGTCAACGGATAATCGTCATGGACGAGGCCGGCAACCATCACCACCTACGAATCATCAGATAGGAACATTTTCGTGATTTTCTCGCCGAATGTGGATTCAGAGGGTGATCGCAGATGAGGATTCCGCGAACTCGGCTTTTGATAGCTTTCCAGCGTTTCGCGCCTCGGAGGTTTACCTCATCTCTGGAGTTTTTCTCGTTCCTGACCGCCCTCGCTTGCAGAGTGAGAATGCTCAGGGCGGGGGGACCTGCCTGAACTGAGCTCACGCTGATATTCTTCAAATCTTGGCAATCGATTTCGAACTTGCACGTGGTGTTGTGCAAGTGAGCGGACTCTGCGCAGATCAGGTTGGTTTCATCTCATTGTCAAATGTTTGCTGAGAGCCATCACATCGGGTTTCGAGACGATGATTATAATCCACAGCTAAAATAATATTATTCTCGAATACTCACCTGGTTGTTTCACATCTAGCCACGAGGGTCCCTTGAGCTTCCGGTCGAGGATCAGAGCTTCGAGACTCGAGGTACTCGTCCCGAAAACTTTGGAAAACGTTTGTCCGCTCAAATCACCCGGAAGAGTCTTCATGGCTTTCGCTGGATTGTACTGGACCTCGAGGTAGTTCGCTTTGCGCGGCACACCCTGAGTGGCGAAAACGAACATCTTCTCGCTTTCTTTGCATCGGAATTCCTTGATTCCGTGCTGCTTCAGAACCTCCTTGACTTCATCATAGACCGACTTGAAGGGTATCGGACACATCATTCCATTCTCGTTTTCGCGCTCCCTCGGTAGGAAGAACAATTTCCTCGGTATATTCTTCACGACGATCGCAGCGCTGACAGAACTGTTTGACACTGTCGTCTTCCCGAATACATATACCGTACCTGGATGTGCGTATGGTTCTTCGTACGCATCTAGCCAGAACAATCGGAATACCTGAAAAGGAGAAGCCTGGCCCTCCCGTATCTGACCACAGAGGGCAAGCACCGGCTTCTGTTTGTGACTTTTCGAAACTTCAGACTCACCGTTTCTCCGTCCGGGTTCTCAGAGACGGGCAAATCAGCAGGCAGCTTGGCTGCAGTCTGGGGTTTCACTTCCGGCTCATCGTCGAAGTCGTCCTCGTTGAAGGAATTCATATTCACTCTACAAATGAAGAAAAGTTGAGTCGAGGGCAGCTCCCGCTACTCCTTTCCCTTGGAATTAGGTCTCGACACCAGACGCTCACTCTTTGAAGCCGCCTGCGGAGGATGGTCCCTCTAATTGTGAGACTTCCTCGGCTTTGATCGTGGGGACCACCGGTTTGGGATCGTCTTCCTCTCGGACGGTGTTTTCATCCGGAACTTTGACGTCTCCGACGAGTTCGTTGGCAGGGGTCTTCTGCGGATCGTACCGTATGTTCACAAAAGCGCTTTGCGAGCTCTGTATACAAAAATATTTCATGATTCTCGATCGTATTCACCTCGTCACGCGTGTCATCTGCGACTGAAACGTCGGGCATGCTACTCATCGAGTCTTCTTCATCTGGGAAGTTTGTGGACTGGACGTTAGCTTCCTCTGCTGCTGGAGTCTTCCCATTAGCGGAGACGCCAGGTATCGGAGCGTCTCCTTGAGGTTTAGGCCTTGGAGGTGGTTTGATGTTTTGAGGTTTTTTCACGGACGCGAATGGATTCACAGACACCTAGTACGAGGGATCTTCACGTTAGTTAGCGCCCACCATGCCAGAACTCCTTATAAGTACATCGTCAATGAGAGGATTCACTGACATACCTCGCTTTTCTGTTTCTTCTTCGGATTTGCGCGCGGGATGTTCTCCTCCTCATCGTCGTCGTCCGCGTTCAGGCCCTTGGCCTTCATCAGCTGCTCGAGGAGCTTGTCGTCCTCCAAGGAGGCGTTCTCCGCCTTCCGCTTGTGGGGCGCAGCGAGGAACATCGATCTGGGATCAGAAATGTTGTTTTGAATTCCCTACCACGACAGAGAAAACCGGGAGCTTCTAGAAATTCAGTGAAATTCGGTCTTTCCATACCTGATGTTCCCGGATTTCGCGGCATCTTGCCGTTTCTTTCTGATACCCTTAGGAGCTTTATAGGATACCTTGGGTTTATTTTTCCGCTCTTCTTCTTCGGCCTCTTCGTACTCTTCGTCGAAGATTTCGTAGCCGTTGTCCTTGTAATCACCGTTCTCATCAACGACGAAATTGGATCTCCTATCGCTAACTCTCTGGTTGTACTCTTCCTCAGTGACTTCTTCGAAGAGGTTGTCATCATTTTCTATGAGGTCATACTTTGCCCTCTGACCGGACTTCACTGCTTTGAATTTCTCCAAAGCTGCCTGACGTCCTGAACGATCGGAGCGGGACCGACGGGATCGATTCGCAGCCAAGGAATCTGAAATTTTCCATTGCCAGAGTTCGTCGAGTGCTGTTCCGTTCGAATCATCGGTGCGGTAGGGCTTCCGTCGTTTGATTATCGCGTCTCCTCTCCGCGCAAATATACATGAAGCTTTGGAATCATCGAGACCTTGGCTATCCCGGGCAATAAGTCGATTCTCCCAATCGTTTTCGACTCTGATATGTACTCTACGAATTAGGAAGCAGTACTTGGAGTAAAGTCCTACTATTCGGGGTCTTGTCTCCCTTACCGTCGGCCATTTGCGTTTGGGAGTCTGTCAGTGTGGATCAGGAAGAGGAACTCGAGCACTTGTAAGTATGCCTGGAGGCGCAGTCGCCTGTCGAAAACTATTCTCGCTTTTTGATGTCAAGCAGCACTGTAGTAGTGCGCTGAGCGCCGAAGTTGTGGCGCCAAAGTATTCTGCCACGAGCGGACCCCACCAGGTGGCGCTGCTCGTCTTCGCTCAGATTATCCCTGCGAGGAGCAATGGGGTTTATTTGCTCTTCAAATACGAAAACGATACATTTCCTGCAAGTTTAACTCTCCCCGGGTTTGAGATTCCTGCGGGTCCCTGTGGATGTCCGACTCGGGCTGATGTCTCGAAGGAGGCCCAAGCCTGTCTTGGCGCCAACTTTTCAAAAGAACTGTTTCGTATCACACTTTGTGTTGGTCGAATCCCGTGTTTTCATCAGGAGCAGACACCTGGACTCGGAAAGACAAGATGGGTATCATCGAGCCAAGTCAGGGAGATGCAAAAGTAAGTGAAATAGCGCTCAAGCAGAGCGATTCTTGTGAGGGAGGGTGCGGGAAGGCTCGAAGAGACATCGATGAAGAAATCGGAAGCCGCGGCGAATCGCCTCAGATCACACGTCCCCTTTGGACACAGTGTCAAACCCGGTCTCAGAGCCCCTAGAACTGCCTTGTCATCGCCCAATTTTCCGCATCTATTGCCCGGTTGCGTAAGACGGGTTGGACATCTCGATGCTCTGGAAGCCGACATACGCTCTCCGAGCACCAAGGTGGGGCTGGCAGGCCGCATGACAAAGCGGAGTGGTTTCCGCTGTGCCTCCCCGGGCAACCTCAGTGTCTGGCTCTCGGATAGGTGTCACTCATGTACCGTTGGAAGTGGGATCGGAACATCGGTGAATTAGTGTGGAACTTTTTTCGGGGATCCTAGTTGCTCCTGTGGGACATAAGTGCGGGAGAAGGAGTGCTCTCCCTGACAATGATGTGTACCTCAATCGATGAGCGATGAGCTTATCGACGACCCAATGTACCTTTCAGATGGAGGTTGAGGTCCCTTCGGGCAAGGAGCGCGAGGGTCTCAAACAGTATTTCATCACGAAGATCGAAGAACTTCAGCTCGTTGTCGCGGAGAAAACTCAGAACCTGAGACGACTGCAGGCACAGCGGAATGAACTCAATGCGAAGGTTCGAATGCTGCGCGAGGAATTGCAGCTTCTTCAGGAGCAAGGGTCCTATGTTGGCGAAGTGGTGAAGCCAATGGACAAGAAGAAGGTGCTCGTTAAGGTCCACCCGGAGGGCAAGTTCGTAGTCGATATCGACAAAAACATCGACATGAGCCAAGTCACTCCGAACTGCCGCGTGGCCCTTCGCAACGACTCCTATACTCTTCATAAGATTCTCCCGAATAAGGTCGATCCTCTCGTCTCTCTGATGATGGTTGAGAAAGTTCCTGACTCCACCTATGAAATGGTCGGCGGTCTCGATAAGCAGATAAAAGAGATCAAGGAAGTAATCGAGCTCCCAGTCAAACACCCCGAGCTATTCGAAGCGCTCGGTATCGCTCAGCCCAAGGGAGTTCTGCTCTACGGTCCTCCGGGAACCGGGAAGACTCTGCTCGCGAGAGCCGTAGCTCATCATACGGACTGCACATTCATCCGTGTTTCGGGTTCGGAACTCGTGCAGAAGTTCATCGGAGAAGGTTCGCGCATGGTTCGAGAGCTTTTCGTCATGGCTAGGGAACACGCTCCTTCAATCATCTTCATGGACGAAATCGATTCGATCGGAAGTTCCCGAATCGAAAGTGGATCTGGTGGCGATTCTGAAGTGCAGCGAACGATGTTGGAGCTTCTGAATCAACTCGATGGCTTCGAGGCAACGAGAAACATAAAAGTCATCATGGCCACGAACCGGATCGACATCCTGGACTCAGCTCTGCTACGTCCGGGTCGAATTGACCGGAAGATCGAGTTTCCTCCTCCGAACGAAGAAGCTCGTTTAGATATTCTACGAATTCACTCGCGGAAGATGAATTTGACGAGGGGGATCGATCTGCGGAAGATCGCTGAAGCTATGCCTGGAGCCTCCGGAGCAGAGGTAGGTCTATCTGGAGTTTCCAGACGAGCTCCTGTTGCGTGACCGAGTCTCCGAGTCGGATCTGAGACGATTGGAAGTTGATAAACGAGACGGTGTCACCAGATCTAATGAGAGCGTCTTTTCAGGTGAAAGGAGTCTGTACCGAAGCTGGAATGTATGCTCTGCGTGAACGTCGGGTTCATGTGACACAAGAAGATTTTGAAATGGCGGTCGCTAAAGTGGTGCAGAAAGATGCCGAGAAAAATATGTCTATCAAGAAACTTTGGAAATAGTGTCTCAGTTCAGATGAAACGCAACAATCATGCGTCGCTCGAGAGAATGAGTTGGTCCGGCTCTGCCGTACGGCGAGCCATCCGGCCGACCAGTCAAAGGGGTCGATCAATCATCAAAGATCTCACCTCTCCGGCGGTGCTTATCGAGGATCGGTCGCTTTGGTAATCTAAACTCAGCGAACACAAGCGACACTCGCGGTGTCTCCTCATTTATTTCTATGTTCACTGCAGACATGAAAGACGGAATAAAAACTTGAATTCCCCACCCAAATCATCAACCGTCATCCATCAGGAGAACTTTACAATTATATGGATAGTCGGGGGGGGGGGAAGGGTTGCGCAAGCGAAGTAGAAAGCAGTCGAGAGCTTCATTCGACGCAGACTCCATAGTTCCATGCTGTTCGACATGTACGAGCTATCGATGATTTCAAAAGTCGATAACATTGTTGACCGGGCTCCCTGGCACCGAAACTCGTGACGTCCTGGACCGCTCCAGCGCGGCGCGTCCAGCGCTGGATTTCGGCGCACCATGAGGAATTTCTGTGAACATTTCTAGAGACGGCCGTGATTCATTGCACAAAGTACGGGAATTCGTTAGCGTAATTATTCTGTCCAGATCGTAGAAGCTTCTAGTATTCTGTAATCACGATCGTCTGGCGCTGAGCGCATCCGCAAGTTTCGCAACGGTTCCCAAGAAGATGAAGCCATCGTCGCTCTCCCCGGCAGCTGGCGGAACTTGTTCGAAGAACGCTTTACAAACTTTGCTGCGCTTCTTGTATGGCTCGCAAGTCGAAGTGATGAGCTCCCCGACAGCTCCCGAAGTAAGCTGCTCGTTGAAAGATGCAGCATCGCTCCCACAAACTCTGCGGGTTTCATCCACGACGCACGAAACGTACTCATTGAATGCGCAACATCCATGGGGCGTTTTTTCTTTCAACGTTTTGCCCACGGACGCATCGGCAAATGTATCCGTGTATCTTCCGAAAGTTTTCATGCACGCTAGCGTGTGCTTCGACAGTGAGTTCAAACACGTCGCCATCCTCAGATAGGCCCCATGTTCTGGAGTTGACGGATCGCATCGGATCTCGCGCTCGTCCCGGACGGCGTCCATCATGAAACGGACGATTCCTTTCACCACTCCTGTGGTGCACCTGTCGGCTCGCTGACGCACGCATACCTCGGCAGCTTCCTGTCGCTGACAATGCTCGGATAATTCTTCCGCGGTCACCGGTACCCGGAATACGCCATCGACGACAGCGTAGACCATGAAATGTTTCCCACACTGATTGAGAAAGGAATAACTGCAATTCCCTGTAGGCTCGACGAACTTGGCGGCATCGCTGATCGTGAGGCAGGCAGCGAGAAACAGAAATCTGGAACATTCGAATACACAATTCATTTTGAGTTCATCCCAATGTTCGAATCTGGAAATGATCGCTCCGTTCGCCGCGAAAAGAGTCGAGCTCGTTTCTGATTGCGATCGCTCAAAGCGCGGCGTGAGCGAACTTTTCTGGTCTCATCAGGCGAGAAATCTCAAATCGGAGGAGCACGACACTTCCAACTTCGAAAATTCTCGCATGGTCGCAAGCCCGAAGAGCATGATGCCTCGAGCGAGAGGAGCAAAAAATTGCTGCGGAAAAATCTTGGCACATGGAGTGCTTTCATCTCGAATTCTGAATCGTCGTGAGTCGCTCAGCAATCGATTTCACCCTGGGAGTTTTGTTTGTGACGACTTCTCGAAACGGCCTCGACGTTTACGGTCGTTCCGGAGTCCGATTCCCAGCCTTCGGGTACAACGAATCGGGATCTCGAGATCGCAGCGTCGGAATTGCTTATAGGCCCCGAATCCGACGATTCTCGCGGGGAGAACATTGAGCGAGGATAAGTTTAGGGTGTCAGCACTTCTAATTCGCGGACGGATCTTTTCCATGACTCGCGTCGTTTTTGAAACACTTGCCGGTTCTCTCTAAAACTCTGGAATTCCAGTCTTCAGAGCTTCACTGTCAGAACGGGGCAATTATTCACCACGCTGGAAAACTCTGCGACACAGGCCCTCAGGAATATCCGGCGAAGTGGGAGCAACTCACGACGGCGAGACACACGGAAAGGGCCGATAACTGACGGGTCACAATCAGACTCAAGATATCGGTACTCACAGTAACTTCATTGTGCGACAAAACGGGCGGAGCAACTGAATAAGGTTCCTGTGTTGGCAGCTTTTTCAACATAAAATGGAACCTGCGACCTTGAAATGAAGAGAAGCCATTCCTCCTCGAATTTGCCGGGGAGTCTTCTCCCAGTCGAAACCAGAAAAGTGGAAATCGAGACATAAGTAGCCCAGCTGGCACCAAAACGTGTTCTTTCTATCAAGAGAAGAGGGGATTATTCACATCCGAGGAGCCGAATGATTTTTCAAGAAATGAAGAGAAGCTTCCGAATTGATTTGGGAGATTTATTCCGCTCTTCCTTCCGCATCATGGACGGGGATCCCGTAATAAATTGATCGCACCCATCATATCAATGCTATACAGATCCTCACCCCAATCGAACTAGATACTCTTACGCCGTCTAGTGCGCAAATTTACCTCAGCCCAACGACGCACTGTATTCGCAGATCTGATCACTGATCACTCAGGATGAGGAGCCTCAAGTTGTACATATATATGTTGAGGTTGTATATAGGTGTACATATATATGCTGCCTGGGACAGAACGCGAGCAAGATGGACGAGGGTCGAGCTCAGTTCCTGGACGTGAGGGAATCTGTGAGCTTTGCGATCGCGCCCATGAACGTCTTGATTTCCTTGTACAGTCCGTTGTACTTTCCTTCGGCTTCGAGCTGCTTGGTCAGCTTCAGGTTTTCTCGACAAGTTTCACTGTCGACTTTGTATGCGCTGCAAGCCGTCTCGATGAGATCTCCGCTCGCTCCGTCGACCATGTTTTTGATGAACGCCTCTGCTTCAGCGCCACAGCTCTCCTTGGTGGTCCCAAGCATGCAATCGGAATAAAGTCCGAAATTGCAGCACGCGTGAGGGATTTTCTGCTTCAGAGTCAGACCACTCGAGATCCCGACGGACACATCCGTGGATTTGATGAATTCAATGGAGCAGTTCGCGATTTTCCCCGAGATCGAATCCAAGCACGGGGCCATCTCCATGTATTTCTGGTGTTCTTCTGAGGTGAAATCGCAGCGAGATTCCATTTCATCCCTGATGGTATCGAGGAATAGCCTCGATATACCTTTCACTATGCCTGTCGTGCACTGCTCGGATCGCTCACGGACGCAGTTTTCGGATTTCGCCTGAGATTCACACTGTTGGCGGAGCTCCTCGATACTCACTGGCGCTCTGACAATTCCGCCGATATCCCGGAAGAGGAGCAGATCGTTCGCACAGATATCGAGATACTTATAGCTGCAGTCAATCGTGGGTGCGGAGTACACTGCCCCGATATACGGGAGCATCCTGTAATGGACGACCTACTGGATCATTACAATGCACGTGAAAATTTTCTCGTCTCCGGGATGCACCATCGACCGTGTTCCCCGGGGAACTCTCACTGTACAGGAAAAGCACCAGAGACATCTAATCTCCACGGATTGATTCTAAAAACATAGTCTCCAGAGTGCTGGTGACTCTTCAAAAACAAGGAACTGTTTTTTTTCGCCGAAGATAAAGCTCCCGACGAGTAATCGGTGCAGATGTCGAAAGCTGGAGAAGTACCCCATCACGCCAGAGGAGACCGCGGATTCACGACGCCCTGGGGGCGACGGGATGGTGCACAAGAACTCACCAGAAGGTGAACATCTCTCCAAAGGTATTAGGATGTGCAGTCAATCGGAGCGCTGCTCCCATTAAATATTCCACCCTGCGAGGGAGACGACCTTGATTGCAATGCTTGTTCGTGGATCCCTCACCTCCATAGAGAATGCAGGTGGATTTGTCGAACGCACCACCCTCGCGACAAGTCACAGTGCGTAACTCACAACAGACTTAATGATCATTCGCAAGCAACTAGACCAGAAGTCTGATGAACATCGAGTTGTTGCCTCAGGAAGCCGAACTCGCTTAAGCATGCGATGGATCACGTTGACTTCACCGGTATTTCGTTACACTCGAGCGACGCATGGTCTACGATCAAGTCTCGACTTCCTCCCATAGAGAGAAACAAGCGAGATGAAGGCTTTTGAGTTTTGCGGAGTTGAGAGCCGGGCGAGAAATGGGAGTTCGCCTAGATCTCGGTGGGATTGCATAGCAATGACATCGAACTCGTTGGGCCATCACTAGATCGCACTCAGCAATCCCGATTCGCTCTACCCCTCCGTTCCGTTTCGTTTCCAGCGATATAATATACATACATGTAACAATTTGCGTTACTCGATTCCGCTTCCTTTAAAGATGAAGAGTCTGGAGTTCGAGTCAATTGATGAACCCAGGGAATCAGAGAATCAACCGACTCCCGGCTGCAGATTGTTCTTCAGGGAAAAGAACCGAATGCTCGCCAATGCGCTCATTTCCAGAACATCATCTGCTGCGAACTATCCTCTGAATGTTCCCCAGCCCACGAGGGACATTTGCGGGCTCGACGAGAGGGAGGGGGCTTCCGGGACCTTTTTCCCCGGGCCCACAGTCTCCGGAGGGGCCCCTAGCTTACGCTTCAGTCTAATGATTTGGACTGCGTCTTTTTCCTCCTCTTTGAAAGATGCATGGAAAGAAAACTGCTGCTCGGACCCATTCGTTCCCTCACTTTTCTAAAGACAGATCACAGACCATGATCGAGAGGGGCCCATGTCCGAATTTCCCCCGGGCCCAAAATTTCTCTCCGCGGCCCTGGACATTTGGATACATTGATCGGTCCATCGTCATAGAACGTCTCATAGAGTCGCTGGCGATCATTTCAATCATTTCAATCAGCGATTGTCGATGATTTCAAAGTCGAGTGCATCACGACCTGTGTATCATGACGCTCTGGAAATCTCTAGAGCACGAGAGTACAAGGTCTGAAAATCGATTCTCTGCGATGTCGCTGCTGGAAGATCGTGGTTCTCTACACACTATCATTATGTAATCTATCCTTGCTCATCAAAGTACAGCATGAGATTTGTCAAAAGAGACAGGTGGTGAATCTAATGATGCACGATACTTCATATCAGGAGACCGGACGAGCGTGCAGTTTCCGCTCCACAGACCGTATGCCCCAAATTAAGCGGATCTACGCTCAGTCGAATTCGTACTGCCGCATTATTCACTCCCCTCTGGATTCTCTAAGACAGGAAGCCACAGATAATTCTCCATCTTTCCCCCGGACGAAAACTTCCAAGCGGTCCCCTGCGACCGCTATCGATCTGCAATCCGTCCGATCTATGCATTGAGCTCACGAACCGAACCATCCCTATGATTGTGAATCATTTCCAAGCTCCGGTCCGGTTCTTCTGCCTTCTGTGGTTTCTTCAAATCTGAGCAGTCGACAGAGCAGCGAAAACCAGAAAATGAGATCTCGTTCAATCAGGTTCCCCGCCGGGAGTGCACAGCGAGAAGACCATGTGCTGCCGAAGCGCGCTCTGGACCTGGAGCGAATCCTCGAGTCGAGCAGCTCGCACGCAGGAAATGAGCAAGAAAAACAATGATCAGAGCTTTGCTCCGATCGGACTGTATCGCGCATGATGCGCAGCGACTCAGACGCCAGAAACTGGGGGAACTAATCGACATTTCCGCAAGGGCTGCAGAGCATGGAAGTCGCAGAGCCAAACACATGATCGAGTCACCGTCGCGCGACGTGAATGATGTTGTCAACAGATGACTCTATGGGAAAGGTACATCCAGATCCTGATACCCCGATGTTGATCCAGCTAGCATCAGATAGGACCAGAAAACTCGCGAGGCAAGCTTCAGTGAGGACGTTCCTATATTAGTTCTTTTCTTCCATTCCCTTCCCCCTCCCAAGCTCGTGATTGTGTCCGTTCTCCCAGTCATTCTCGAAAGCAACGACGAGGATACACTACCCACCCACCCACCACAGAACCATACCTTGAGAACCCTAGATCTTCTGCTATCGGAATGCACAGACGAATACTTCATCCGATCCTATGGATTCTAGAATTATCTACGATCGCGCCGTCGCCATTGCATAAGCCGCGTCTATGATTCAGTCCAGTTTTTAGAATACATTCAAGTCTCAAGATGGAAGTCAATACGCTTCTGAAGCGAAAGCGTCCGCTATTCCTCTGCTTCGAGAGGGAGAGAGTCAAAAAAACTGATCCCTGAAGACCTCATTCGATGGAAACTCTAGAAGGATTAGTACCTTCGGTCAGAGTTTACTCAGGATTCTCGGAAACCTCCTTCTGGGTGGGTACGGGGTGGTCTGGGAATCTTAACCCGAAGGATCAATCGAGCCTGCTGAAGCCTAGGAGCCTTCAGGCGCTCCGTAAGAGACTGCGGGCGCTGCGTTACGGGGCATTTGGACGATGGTCTGATATGATCAATCAAGGATCTCGAATCCATTGAAAAAATCCGGTTCCCCGCGGGTTTCGGACTTATCCACAACAAGCGAGTCCTGTCAGACTATCACGAGTTGAATCAAGTTCGCCAACATGCTGAGCGTCGAATTCCCAAGAGAGGAGCGGAGTTGATGTTCACGATTCTGGAAGACCAGCCCGAGGAAAATACGAAAACATGACGTCATGGCATCGCAAAATAAGTCGGAGAAGAGGCGCACCACGGTCGCCGTAGATTTCCGCACTGCATCTTCTGTGCCCCCGTAACGAGATACGGCACCGGAAACTTCCCTTCTACGCAAGCGAGGCGGGAAGGGTCGAGTGAGTCAGTGCTTCCGTGAGCAAAGGGTTTACTCGTCTCGCCTTCCGCTTGCCACATACTTTCATGCGGCGAAATGGATAGTTTGTCTGTCTGGAGCCCTTCGCGTCTCCTCTCGGTCCGAGCAGCTCCTGAGCTCGTCTTCTCTCCCTTGTCGGCAAGAAGAGTGGGAAAGGTCATTCATAGCCGTTATGAGACAGCTCTCCTGATGCAGTCGTGTCGCTCCAATCATTAGAACCGACCCGCGGTTGTGGGCAGCGGGTTCGACTAAGCTAAATCCTGTCAGACTTTTTGACATGAATTCGGTTGCGGCGCTAGTCATTTGCTCCGGGAGACAAGATTGGAAGCAGGAATCGAGAGGGAGGCAATGGAAAGAAATGGACAGTCAAATCCGAACTGCGTTCGCTACTAGATCGAACTCGAGTAGCGAAAGCGTTCGCTACCAATATAGGCGCTCCGAGAGGAGACCCACCGCTTGTCGAGACGAAGCACACGAGGAGTGTCTTGCCAAAAGCGTCAGCTCCTCATTATCAGGAACGCCTATGAGGGAAATCTTTCTCAAAGAGCAAAGGATATCCCTAATTACATCAGATCGGGTCCACGAATTTTCCACATCATGTCTCCCGTCAGTCGAGGACACGATGAAAAATCAGATATCAATTTTCCGGATCGAAGCAAGGCATATCTTTTCTTGTATTTTGGGATAATCAGACTGTACACGGATCGGTTCATCCTGGGAATGATGCGGATCACCCGTCATTCGACTCCATCTAATATATACACGGTATTCTAATCCTTCGATGACCGCGGGCGACGAGCAAGACTCGGAAGGAAATCCCTACGAGTTCCCAATCAATAGATAGGCAACTTTAAATATTCTAGCGCGGAGCTTCCCATAGAAGATGAGGTTTACGACGAGAGCTCACAAATCGTTTCTTTGATCGAACTTCTATCCTCGCTCACACTGAGGGATAAGTGAAAAATTCCTTTTCCCTCTACATGCCACTCGGCGAATTGCTGACGTGCTCAGCATCCCACGAAGAGTCATCGTGAACCTTGACTCTTTTGTAGCGTTTGTCTTTGAGACCTTTCGAGCTGGGTTTTGGAGCGGCGCCGCCACTAGACTGTCTCTCCAACTGCTTCGGTTTCGCCGCTGCTGCCGTTCCCTTCTTCCCGTTCCCAACGAGCGGATGGGTTTCTGGAATGGCAGAAGACTGTCAGGGAAGGGTAACGTATCGACTTTCTTTCTTTTCCTCTCGCTCTACTCGGGAGAGAGTGGAATCCGGATTCCCTCGTAGGGACAGAATCATCATGTTCCCACACTCACCACCAACAGGGGCGTTCTTCAGCTGAATGTCGAAGGACTTCTGACATCGCGTTGCGGCAGGTGGATCCGACGGTGGTGACGTCAGATGACCCGTCGAAATCACAGGTCCATCGCCACCCCAACCCTCCTCGGGCTCGTCGATATCGGGTGCTATGGGCAAATAAAGCAGAGCTTTTTTGACGGCCTCTCCGTCTTCGTCCGAGGAGCAATACGCTGCCACCGGCTCCTCGGTCTCGACATCGACTTCGGAGCTCTCGTCGTGCTTGTCATTATCGACGTGCACCGAGCGGTCCTCGTCTTCGAGATCAAATTCACTTTCTCGCTCCTCGTACTCGACGTTCTCGTCGAGCTCTTTGAAATCTGGCGCAAAAGCCGACCAGTTCTCCACTTGGGCCTGCGACCATATCGAGACGACTCCAGATGAGATGGAGGCGATTATGGGTCTCACCGGGTGCCACTGGAATGGAAATCGAGCGCTTGAGCGAGAAGCCTGGGACCCCAACTCACTCAGCATAGACGTGTGCTTGACGTATGTGAGTCGTATCGGAGTTTCTCACTGACCACGACGTCCAGCAGGAGCTCTCCTTTGGTTCCGTGGAGAATTTTCACGAGGTTGCCGACGCTCCGCTCCCAGACGTAAAGCGCATGCTGGCGAGCTGATCCTGCGCAGATGAACTCGCCGTCACCCGAGAAACAACACTTCTTCCATGTCGTTCTGGAAAAATGTGAGATGAGCATTCAAGATTGGTTTCGTCTTATGTCTGTAGGATAGGATCACGAATTCCTGATAATTTTCAATATCTACGGCGCGTAGAGGTCGATCATACTTGTTGACGAGATCCTGCAGCTTCTGATTGGGTTCTATGTCGGCGTCTTCGCCCTGTTGCAGAACTTTCTTCACATCATAGACTCGAATGACTCTGTCTGCCGTGTTGCATAGAAAATGATCTCCACGCCTCGCGAACTCGATGGATTTTATAGCTGTCGCGCTCTGAGTTCCCGTTGTGAGTCTAAACGATGCGACTATCTTGTAGTCACTCAGTCGAACGACCACGAGTTTTCCCTTCGCGTTCCCGGTGAAAACGTGATCGCCTCGACGATCAAACGCTGCGACAATGTTCAAATCTGTCTCGTCGTCCAAGGGAACGAGCTTGTGATCTCCGGTCGAGGTGTCTACGATCACGGCCGAATACTTGATCGGGCACACGAGCAGCAATTCATCGTTCCGCGGATGGAATTGCACCTGCAAGGACGATCTATCAGATCCGACGGACTCGCGAGTTACTGACTGAGCAACTGAGGGCTGAATCGGAAGCGATCGAGCCCTGGCTGACCGGGACATTTGACGCCTCTCGCATGAATCTACTGCACGGATGGCTTACCTTCAGGATCGGTGAGGGAAATGTGTATTTCTGCAGACATTCTCCAGTCATGATTTGCCATACGCACACGGTATTATCCGTGGATGCGGATACCAATTTACGTCCATCCCTTGTGAAGCTGCACAGAAATGGATTGTCAAGCTACGGGTTCCCCAACCTCTCTCTCGCATCAAGTTAAAGCCATAGTTCCTCCGGAGGACGTCCGATACTCACCCCAATGAGCAGACTGGATGGATATGAGCAGATATGATTTTTGCTATGCCTCTCGTCAGGAAATCCCATATGACAATTCGGCCGTCATTGCAACCAACCGCTAGCAATGTTCCATAGCGATTGAAGGTACACGTCAAGGCCAACGATATGCAGTCCAGGGAGCCATCGAACTCTTCAGGATAGTTCTGTCCGAAGGTTTCTGTCAAGTGGGAAAGTCAATTTATCAGAGTCGAGATTCACTCCCCGCGGTCCGGAGGCTCATGCTCAAGAGGGAAGAGAGAAAAAAGACTGAGAGTTGAGAGGCTGGAGAGGTATCTTGCTCACCCAAGAGATCTAAATTCATATTGGGCTCCGAAGCTCGAGTCGGCAGAACTCGAAACTCTAAATTCGAACAGCCGGAATTTTCTCAAGCGCTTGTTTTTTGTTGTCGTATATAGCAGAGGTCCGCTAGACGATTGGCGACCGCAGCGCCAACCGCGTCGCATGTGCCGATGGAGCCGCGCAATCTCGCGCTTTCGGATGCTGGTCATCCATACTACAGGAATGGGACGAGGAAGCAGAGCCCGTCTTCTTGGCGGATTCTTCGACTGAGCGGGAACGAAACGGAAGTTTGAGGGGAACCTTCGTGATTTTTTCGACGAGAGACAGCTCCAGCCTCACAGCGGATCCGGTTCGGAATTATGTCTCCCCATTCGAGGAGAGTAGGGTGGACTCTGAATTGTGAACTCCATCTGGGTTCTGAGACAGAGAGCAGCGGCGGATCGGCTTCTTGAGAAGCATCGAATAAAATACGACCTCTTATTGTATGAATGGGGATCCCATGAATTTGTCAGCTCAGACCTTTTGTACTGAGGAGGAGTCCGTGGACGCTGCAACCTCTCGAAAGGTTCACCGCCAATCGGAAATCGCCCCGAAAAGAACGTCCCTCAGCTCTCTTTGCGGAGAACGTCCCGATATGATCCTATGGTTCTTCGAGCAGGGCGCTCTTCCCGATTCATCATCAGCATGCGTTCTGCTGCGGAGTTTGCCGAGGCGCCGTCTGGGGGAATCCCAATCGTGCCGCCCTCAAAACCGATAGATCGGGGCCTACGAACTATTCCATATGCTACGCATTGGATTAGCTATGGTGCCGCGTATCATTCGATTGTGAGGTAGAATTCGCGAGATTCAGAATAATGATCGATCGAGATGAATCCGCGCACAAACAAAATCTCCAACTGTCAGAGCTCCGATGCCCCCGGATAGCGGCTGTGAGATGGTCCGAAGCGCCGTCCCTAGGGGAGTGTCGCCCGGGCGGACCGCCCCGTCCCTCCATGAAGGTACGCCCCTGCCTATCCTATGACACTCCCAGGCATCACTGAAATGATCAGGAGGATTAATGCCCCACAGCGCCAACGCAGTTACTGAAAGGGACCGGAGCAAATCCCCGAGCCACCTAAGCTTCTGCGGAGGCCGTGGATTTCAGAACGGCATCCGACGACGTAGAAAGAGGAAAGGTCATAAGCAGTGGCCCGAAGATTATACCTCGAAGGGAAAATTGTGAACGTACTCGCATTTCCTCCCGTATCCCCTGGTTCTCGAATCCTTGGATCCTTTGATTCCCGGATCCCCTGGAGCCTCTGAATCCTTCGCGCTCCCGGGACCGAGAATCCATCACCGAGAGATCACCAGGACGGTGGAGTCAAGAGCCAGGGTGTTCCGCCTATAAATCACTCTCTGGATAAGTCGATGCCGCGGGCAAAACATTCCTGCCGTCGTGTCGGAGCCCCATCAGATCTGAGGAGCACCGAGCTCATAATACCTCCCAGGTACTCATCCAGGAAGATTCCCACGCTATGGCTGATACATTTATCAGCAGTGGCGGGCCGAAAGGGGGGGCGAGGGGCCATGGCCCCCCTCAAGATCTCTTCCTGGCCCATAGAGTTCCATGTGAGGCTCATCATCATCGCTAGTTAGCTCCTACCGAGACAAAGGCCCTGCCCCTCCAAAAAAAATCCTGGGCACGCGCCTGTTTATAAGTATCCTCCCACGGAACTGCGGAGAGGAGAACGTTCGGCGTCGGCGGCGCAGGATACGAGATACGACACGAGACAGCCACAGCATGACGAATCGGTGGGACAGCATTTCGTTATCGTCACAATCGTGTAGTATTTCGGAGTCACAGCCGCCCCGCTCCATTGGAGTGTCTGGCCGTGAGAGGGGGACCGCGACTCGAGAATTCAGTGGTATCCTCTTCTATATTTCGACGGAGCGCGAAGAATCCCAGAGTCACTTGACCTTCCCTGACGAAGCTCCTGGAAGATGCTATCCTTGAGGATAACCTGAGATCCTCCAGCGCAGCACAACGCATTTGCCAAGAAAGGCCGTGCCCCTGAAGAGTTAAGGAATCGCCTGATTCCTACCGGGAGCCGGGCAAGGATCATCGACATCATCGTCTCCGCGTACCATAAACGGATAGGAATCTCAGCTTGGCCCCATAGTAGTCTCGTGTGTCTCGTCCCATGGTAGCCTTCAAACATCGGATGTTGACAAACATTGCAGACTCCTTTTCGAGCCACGAGGTATTGAGCTAACACGCGGGTGTGCTCTCCGACCCTCGGGGTTCGACGCGTGGTGAACGAGACAGTGAGTCTTCAATCGTGACAGTTCTAGCTCAAGTCCTCCATCCACCATGGCGTCATATAACTTCAAGAAGATCGAAGTGGTGCCCACAGCGAAAGACTTTGTGGACATCATCCTCTCGAAGACGCAGCGCAAAACCCCGACAGTTGTCCACAAGCAGTATAAAATCACTCGAATTAGGAGCTTTTACATGCGCAAGGTGAAGTTCACCCAACAGAATTTCCATGACAAGCTGAGCAAAATCGTATCGGATTTCCCCAAGCTCGAAGATATCCATCCTTTCTACGCGGATCTGATGAACGTTCTCTACGACAGAGATCACTACAAGCTATCTTTGGGTCAGATCAATCAAGCCCTGCATCTCATCGATAACGTCTCCCGGGACTATGTGCGTTTGCTCAATATGCAGATTCGCTATTCAGATGCAAGCGACTCAAGAAAGCCGCACTCGGACGTATGGCAACCATCATGCGACGTCAGGCCCAGTCGCTGCTCTATCTCGAACAAGTCCGTCAGCATCTGTCCCGTCTGCCATCAATCGACCCCAACACGAGGACCTTACTGCTGTGTGGATATCCGAACGTAGGGAAATCATCGTTCATCAATTGTGTCACGAGAGCAGATGTCGAGGTTCAACCGTACGCTTTAACGACGAAGTCTCTGTACGTTGGTCATACGGATTACGAGTACATGAAATGGCAAGTGATCGATACCCCTGGAATCTTGGATCATCCCCTCGAGGAACGAAACACCATCGAGATGCAAGCTGTCACCGCCCTGGCACATCTAAGAGCTTGCGTGCTCTTCGTCCTCGACCCCTCGGAGCAATGTGGGAATTCCCTCGAGAGTCAGATCTCTTTGCTGAAGAGTTTGAAACCTCTCTTCGCAAATAAACCGTTGCTTGTCCTCTGTAACAAGATCGACGCCCTACCCCCATCTGATTACGACGAGGAGAAGAAAAAACTCATCGAAGAGTTGCAGAGCGAGTCGAACCTTGAAGTCTTGTTCATGAGCACGGCAACGCAAGAAGGCGTTTTCGACGTGAGGAACAAGGCGTGTTCCATGCTTCTGGCTTCGAGGTATGTATTCCTCCCTGAGGGAGTGACGTCTCCCTTGTCCACCTCTGAGCATCCTCAAGCTGGGGTCGGAACTATCTTGTAGGCTACCCGTTCAATTCATCATACCAGGCGATCTCCGAAGCGAGCAAGTCGCTGATTTATTTTTTTCACTCCGCAGGGTTGAGGCCAAGCTGAAGAACCGAAAAGTGGAAGGCATCCTGAACAGACTCCACGTCGCTTATCCTGAACCCCGCGACGGGAAGGAGAGGCTCCCCTGCATACCTGATTCCGTGAAAAACAAGATGGACATCTCGAAAAAAGACCGGAAACTCGAACGACATATCGAAGAAGAGATGGGCGACGATTATATTCTCGACCTGAAGAAGAACTACGACGTGCCTGACGATATGAAATACGACGTCGTTCCTGAAATTTGGAAAGGTCACAACGTGGCAGATTTCATAGATCCCGACATCATGGCCAAGCTCGAGGCCTTGGAAGCCGAGGAAGAGCTCCGTGAGAAAGCTGGCTTCTACGACATCGAGTACTCTTCTGAAGATGAGGAAACTCGAGAGACGAGATCGCTGGCCCGCAAGATCAGGACCAAGAAATCCATCATGAAGAAAGATCACGAGCTCGAGAACAGCAATCACCGCGCTTCGAGACCAGTTCTCAAGAGATCGGAACGATCCGTTTCCCGTCTTCGAAAAGAACAGACCGAGCTCGGAGTCGACATGACTGACGATCAAGATGCTCACTACAGGAAAACCAGATCCACGAGCAGGGGTCCACCTCTCAAGAAGGCTCGCGTCGACTCCGAGGGCAACGTCACCTCGTCGCGGCATGCCGTGCCTCGAGATAAGAGCGGGGTGCGTGATTCGAAACAGGCCGCTAAGGCGGAGAAGATCCGTAAGAAGGCCCAGGTTCCGCTCAACAGACAGGCAAGGAAAGGCGAAGCCGATCGGAAGATCGTCAGTCTTAAACCCAAACATCTGTTTGTCGGCAGCCGAGGAATCGGAAAAACGCAGCGACGCTAGACGCCGTGATTCCGCGCCGCTTTCCGTCCGTGAATTCGGGTTTTGCGTCCGAGTTCTCCGGTGTCGGGAGCTCTTCAGTTACGTTAATAAATTGCGACGCGAGAATACGACGAGCACTCCCCGGATATCTTTATTCTGACGCGAGCAGCGATCGGTCGATTACCAAATGGCGTTTGGGGTGTCTGTACAACGGGGACGTGATTTTCTAGCTCCGATTGAACTTGTCTATTTTGCCTTGCTGAAGAAGCTAGCGATGCTCTTCATTCCAGTTTTGTCGCATTGAGCTAATTTCTTCTGAGCAGGGGTGAGTTTTGCAGGCGTCTTCTTGTCTTCGGCAGAGCTCGTCGCTCCTTTCGAGTAATCTTCTGTCGGTTCCTGCGGTTGTCGAAGGAAAAAAATATTTAATGGCTTGATTCGCGCCACGGAACTCTGGGGGGTATTTGGCGGTATGCAGATCATTCGATGAGCTAGTCCCTCTCAACCTCGTTCCTGGAAGGTTCCGATGATCTAACGAGTCTCACCTCTGTCTTCCTACGCTTCGGCTTGCTTTCCTCTAAAGATCCCTCCAAGTCGTTCGCGCTTTCTTTGAGTGGCTTTTTACGTTCGATCCCCAAATGCCTCTCTAATTTGGCACTCACTGGTTCAGAGATGTATTCGCGTAGAATACCAGCGGCGGAGTGCAGGTAGTCTGTCAATCAGGCAGACCAATGAGCCAAGTAAATCAGCGACTATCGATTCAATTGACGCGAGCTCATGGTCGATGTTGAAATTAAGCGGAGCGATTTCTCGCTCACCTTGGGTGTTTTCAGTATTCTCTTCTTTGAGTATCTTGCTCCTCGCGACAGCTCCACACGAGATATTTTCCGACGCGAGGGCTTTCGCGACTCGCCGAACCTTTGCTTCAAGCCAGGAGATGACTTTCTCCTCGTTGTATCGCATCAAACGACGATCACAAACCTCTGGGATGATACCCATGTATGAAAACGATGGAATCTCCTCTCAACCCGTCCCCCCCCCCCCCCGGGGGGTCCCCCCCGGACTCGCGAGATCACTGAACTCACCTTTGATATCAAACAAGGACTCGAAATCTGCTCCTTCCACGGCTGATAAGACTTCCCCCTCGAAATAGTTTGAAAGTTCAACAAATTTCTCAGTCAGGCGTAGAGCTTCCAACGCGAGAAACCTGGAAAGTTAGCCTCGTTTATTTGGACTGAAGCCGGAATTCGTCCACGATTCGGCCGCTCCTCTGCTGTTCTCGACGTTTCAGATCGAATCACTCGGTCTAATAAGCTCACCTTACGTCGAAGGGAGTGACAGTGTAGATCTTCCCATCTTTTTCCACCGTTTGGTCGATAAAGAAACTACAGAAGCCTTCCGTGGTTGAATGACTCGTGATTTCGAACAACTTGTTCTCACACATTACGAACAGCATTGGAGTTTTTGTGCGAGGATGAGGATGGCTAACAACTTTCAAGCCCTCCGGTGACGAAAGAGACTCCAGAGCTCCGTCTGCCGCGTGAGCCGGTCTCGGGGTTATATATCCGTACGTCAACAACTCATATCCGGCCAGGAATAGGATTTTCGTCGCGATACTCACCAGGTATGTAGAACACCCTCTGCGGATCGAGCTCCACCAAGTCATTCTTCATGGGTTTCGTGTCTTCCGTTTCCTCATCGCTCTCCACTTTCGCGCTCGCCCGAGTCCCCCGTTTGGATTTCGGAGGCATCCCGGACTATGTAGTTTAAAGCAATGCTAAAATCTACACTCAAAAACGGAAGGACGTCACTCTTTCAGCTTGTCTCCAAACAAGCTTCTCGAGCAGCTGATCGGTGAAGTTTTGGCGCCAAAAAGTCCAATTGTTTGGAGCGGGAGCCGAGATCCCTCATGAGCATGAGAACAAGGCGCAGGTGCTACAGGAGAGGCAAAGGGCCGCTAAACGTTGAAAATCTGGTTGGGAAGAATAGAGGCAAGGCGCTTGAAGGCTTCTCCGGGACTACCGAAGTTTCTCGGTGGAGGGTTCGCTCGTGAATATCGGCAGTCATGATTGTCATGATCTGTGCTTGAGGGAGACCGGAACTGATTTTTCCCAAAGATCTCCCACCCCTGAGTCGCGGGGTTCGCAAGCCAGGGTGGGAAATTTCCCGCGAAATCAGATCTCTCCAAGAAAAATGCCGCCGAAAGCAGACTCCGCCACTCTCACCATTCCGGTGACTCAGTCAGGAACATAACGCGATGAGTGCCATTCAGGAGGACAGCAACGAGCTGCGATTTCCCGTCGCCGCAACAAGCGCGAGGAGCTTTCTCCTTGATTTTCTCGAATTCTAGAAGCAGAGATCGCCACCGATCTCCGAGAATTCGATATGGCCATATCCTGCGCTTCCCTGGAAATTCCCTCCTCCCGCCCCCGGGAATCTGAGGCAACGCATCCTAAACCTGGACATTCCCTGATCTCGATCCAGGGAGCCGATGGGTTCCACCTCAACGATTCCCCCGCCCGGAGTATCAAGTCCCATGGTTGCGGTTGCACTCGACTCGGCTAGCCTGATTCCACCGACGTCATTTTGTCGCGGCTGCCCGTGTGATGAAGCGCGACAATTCGATGCTCACGAACGAATTTCACCTGACGGCTACATCCTAAATCTCTGGTATTCGTTGGGATTCGAGATTCTAAACTCCGCACGGTTCTGTTCAGCAAATCTGAGTATCCCCTGAAGCTCTCGGTGCACAACCCGATTCGAGCGCGCAGCCCCCGAAGTTGGAATTTTAAACTCCGACTCATTGTGAGGATCCGATCATATGGTGCGTCGAGCGGTTTCCACTCGGACGCATATGGAGTTCACCTCTCGCAACTGCGCCCCGAGGCAGAAATCAAAATGATCCACTCCGAATGCAACAAAGAACAGCGAGGAAACGCCTTCGCACCCAATCTTTCGTTTGCGCCAGGAATTCAAATTGGGAGCGGACTGCTCGCATGAAACTAAGATGGCTGCCTCCATCGAACACTGAGGGGACTGTCAAACTCGTAAGAAGACTTGCTTTCGGGACACCGGATTCGATCAGCTCATCGCGGCATCTGTTCTCGTTTTGGCAAAGTCGAAAGTGATTCCGGTAGTGGTCTTGGAAGTGATGTGCAAATAGGACGATGGAGAGTGAACGTCAGAGGAAACTCAGCGGTAAGAAGCTGTCACGGAGGGGTCGACCCGTGGGTAAACTAGGAGAAAGGTCCGGATTCAATGATCCGAGTTCAGTATCAGGACGGCATGACCGTCGGACCTGGGTCACAAGGGTCCCAGCCCGGGACATTTCGCGAAAACTCGATTTCGGTCTAGGTCTCGACGCGGCTGCATAATTAATCAGCAGGACCCCAATGACCAATACCCGGCAGTGCGGAGGACGACTTCCTCGGATGCAAGAATCTCCGGCTGTTGACGTGAAAAACTGGATGAGCCGTAACGAGGGAAGGCAATGCATCACCAAACACGAGCGGATACGCATTCGTGGCTCGTTCCCTCGTTCGGCGATTGGGCGTGTGACGCTACGGCGGATTACGATCGAATCGCTCCTTTCTTTCTGTCGAACGGGTGCATTCGGAGAATGATTCCCATCTCCGCATGAGACGGAATCCGATGTCTCATGTCGGTGCCCGAAAGCTCGTTCTACCTGTATTGGGGACGTCTCGCTCATGTTTTGGGGCGAATGAGGTTTTCTGGACGCACTCATTCGGAATGTGGAGCAATCAGCTCGTTCAGCAGCTTCTTCCGATGATAGCTCATCCACCTGACTCTTTCGGTATGGGAGCTTTCCACCGATCCTGGGAGACGTATTTATTTCCGTGCGGAGAACCTAGCCGGACGCCGCGCCGCAGATACAGAGTTCACAAAAACTCCTCCGTAAAATTCATGTAGGGAGAAAAAAAAGCTCCATCAGAATATTAATAATAATAATATTATTACTTCATTTTTTCATGAGAGTCGTGGCCGATGCTCGTTCTCCTGTTAGTCTCATGTACGTTCACAGGGTTTCATTTACCAGTCTCTTGGTTAGTCCCATATAATGGAGGCTATCCTCGGAATCATGAGCTTCCTGAACGACTGTAACGTGATCGTTGAAGTGGTCCGACCGTCGCTTATGACCTCGTTGATTCGAGCGTGTTGCAGAAAGAATGGAATCGCCATATTCCGGTTCGGAGCATTTCGTTGCTCTGTCCTAAGAGTCTGACTCTCGAGTTGCTCTGAGTCGGTGTCTTGGAATAAGCCCGATTTCGATATCAGTCTCCGTGGGAACGATACCGAAACATATGTGTATGAATTGCGGCTCAGCGAGCCTTGCGGACGTGATCCAAAGTTCATGCCGTTAGCTCGGACGCGAAGATGATATTGAAGCATCAATCTCAAAGTCCACGAGCGAACATCCGAGAAGGAATGGGAGCTGTCGCGGTAGGGGCTGAGATGGGTTTCCCCCGGGGATATGTGAGCACGTTTCGCTCCGGAGCGTTCAAATTCCTTCCATCTCCCACAGGGTCAAGCTCGGTCGGGGACTGCGACCTGGAGCCAGCCCTAGAGTTTGACGACTCCGAATTCAAGACTCCAGGATCACCCCTTGCCACCGAGGAGCTCTCTCTGGCAACGGACAACCTCTCGATCGGGGAAACAGGTATCAGAGAGGGTATAGCCACCTCATACTCTAGATGTAGTCCGCCGACGGTCGTCGGAGGGAGCAGTGTCGTGAAAGGTTCCGAATTCCAGGAGGTGATCTGGACATGCCCGATGAGATGGCAATCCGAGATGAGGATTATGAGATCGCTCTCCAACAAGAAAGCGATTTTGAAGACATCTCTCACCACGGTATCGTGGAAGTAGCCGGTAAGTCCGCCGGGAGCCCCGTTTCCTCGCTCGAAAGTTCCTCTCATATCTCGCGCTGTCCCCGCCGAGCCGAAATCGTAGCGCCGATCTCGATGGCATCTTCGTTTCCAGGTGTGGATTTATCAGGTCGCACAATAATCGTTGTCTCTGCCTGCCGACTGCCCCCATCCGATTCGATTAGTCATCCGAAGCTACTTCGGTACTTGCAGCACACATTGGATCAGTTCGTCGAAACGGACTATGTTCTAGTATACTTCCATCATGGCCTGAATTCCAAAAACAAGCCAACCCTTTCGTGGTTATGGACGGCTTTCCGAACGTTTGACCGGAAATATAAGAAAAACCTGAAAAATATGTACTTGGTGCATCCCACGACGTTCATTAAAGTTATCTACCAAGTCTTCAAACCCTATATCTCGACCAAGTTCGGGAAGAAGATTGTATACGTGAATCGGCTCTCGGAGCTGAAGACACATCTGAGGCATTTCGACCAGATTCAGATCCCGGAAGCAGTGGTTGAACACGATCGCGATCTCAAGGAGCGCGAGTCGAAAAGATGGTTCAAGATGCCGAGCAGTACGTCACTGGGGTCTCTGAGCAGTGCGGCGAAATCCTACAGGGAGACCCAGCAGTTCAACGTCCCTCTTGACGTCCTCTGTCTGAGGAGTCCCAACGGTGTCCCAACCGTGCTGAAAACCTGCATCCAATATCTCAACTGCGAATCCGCTCTGGAGAGTGAGGGTCTATTCAGACGGTCCGCGAACAGCACCACGCTCAAAGCAGTGCAGAGCCTCTTCGACGAAGGCAAGCCCGTGGAGCTTTCACAGTTCTCCGATAGTTACCACTTGGCCGCCGCGACGCTCAAGTCCTTCCTCCGTAGTCTGCCGGAGCCTCTGTTGACCTTTGCCAATTATGGCGACGTGATCACCTTCCAAGAACTCGATACGGCCAAAAAACCTCTGAGAGCTCAACAAATCTTGCAGCGACTGCCGCAAGATAATCTGAACGTGCTTTTAACTGTATTTAATTTCCTGGGGAAAGTAGTGCAACAGAGCGATTTTAACAAAATGAGTCCGTCGAACTTGGCTATCGTTTTCGGACCGTCACTGCTTTGGTCGGAGCGTAGCGCTGCGACGCTCAATTCAATCCAACGAATCAATCATTTCGTCGAGTTTCTTATCAAGGTTGGCGTCGCCACGCTCGTGGAGAACTTTTCTTGAATTTCCGCTATGCAGACCTACTTGATCACGCAGACGATCATCGTGGCTCGGTCCACAAAGCACAAATCGCGTCGACGTAAATCGTACGCCGGACATCGACTCCGTGCTTAACATGTCCGGACGATGCGGTCGCCCAAATGGAATTCGGACGGAAACAAAGAAACATTTTTGGAGAAGCGGCATCAACTTTATATATTCCGAGAGCACTATCACCGCAAGGTTCCTATGCGACACCTCATCACCATCTCTGGATCGCCCTGACCTCCCGAGTTTCTACTTATCATGTCCTCGTCGATTCGCAACCACAAGAATGAAACGATGGCTAGCCGACGATAGAGTCAGTGCCGAATTTTACGAGACGATTCCGTCAAGCTCTTGACCAAGCTTGATCTTCACTGTAAATTAGACGAGGTGTATCTTTCTGAAGTCATTGTTCTCCCCGAATGTAAAAACGACATCTTCCGTGGCTAACATCTCTAGGGACGGAAGGAAAGTGTTCGTGTTAGTATCTCTTCTCCGTGGAGTTTTCCAACTGGTCCGCCTAGAGCGGCGGGGAACCAGGCTGTACAGCTCTATTGTGCCAAAGACTTTCTTCCCGGTGATCATTAGGAAATATTAATATATATATATACACACGTATTATCGTTTCTGGTACCAAAGTATTATGACTATGACTGAAAGGAGAAGGAATAATAAAGACGATGGCATACAAAGAAGCAGACCAATCGCATGATATAAGTCTCTCTTTACAGAATCAACAATCTGTATTCCGAAAGTTCGTTTATTTACAACAGCTGTTGACACGACGATTCACCTAGCCTAAGGTGAATAGACGAGCGGGAACACACATACTGAGTTCTTCGCCTCTTTGATCCGTTCCCAACGTCCGAGGGCGTGTTCTTGAGAACACGCGGCCACCAACAGCTTCGACGACGAGGAGAACGTCAACGAGTTGATAAAACCTATGCTGGGGATCCTCGCGATCTCCTCGAGGCTCGGCCGTCCTTCCGCGTCACGTCGACAGTTCAAGGTCTGTTCAAGGAACAAGCACATAAGAAACGTTCCAGGTGAGCGAACTTAGGTCCGTAGCTCAGCTCAGGAGAAACTGCTCTAGGAATTCGAATAAGTTACTGAGCGCTCACCTTGAGGAGTACGATTTCACCCGAGCTTGAGCCGGCAGCCACTAAATCGCTATTACGCATGGCGCAGATTGCCGTAACCCACTGTTTGGCGATGACTATGCTGAATACGGGCTTTTTCTTCATGGCCCTCCAGAGATAGACCCGTCCATCATCATGTCCCGAAACGAAAGTCTCGTCGTTGAGCATGGCGCAGCAATCGACGGAAGTCCCATTGCCCTGGTAGACAAGCTGAGATTCTTCCGGTATTTTCCACAGTCTCAAAGTTCCGTCACGTCCTCCGGAACTCAAAGCGCGATCTACAATCGAGACCCATCAGTGGTGAGACATGGAGACTCGCCGCATCGGATGGACACGGCGATCATTTTCGAGACCCTACTGAGGCGGAGCAGGCGTCCTGCCGATACCGTCAAGATTGGTAGGCCCGCCCTCGGGTTTCCAGATCGTCCACTGCCTTGCACTGTCACTTCCATGCGGAGAATTCCCCTGGGAGCCATGCATCGGAACTCACCTCTGAGAAAACTGTCGATTCCTGTGACTCTGTCTTCATGACCGAATAAAGTTTCAACGTACGCCATCTCGTCTAGACTCCAAACTTTCACCGAGCGATCAGCCGAGCAGCTGAATAGTTGATGTGTGTTGAGCCGGAAGGCGAGGCCAGTCAATTTCCCTCGATGCTGATTCATAGCAAAGGTGTGGATCCTCTCCAGGTTTTCGGGATTCCAGATCGTCAGTACATTCTTCTCGCAACCGGTCGCAAGGAACTTCGAGTCCGAACTCAACGCCAGCGCGAGAATAGCGGCGGCGTGGGCTGCCTTCACACGAACAGAACGCTGTCCCTTCTTATCAGCCACCTCGATAGACCTGTCGCACAGAGAACTATTCCAACTTATCGAACTCGACTGAGTCTCGACTATTTCTCCCGATGAATGTGTGAAGGGACTTGATTGCATAGCTCACCATTTGACGAGAGTTCCGTCTTTCGATGCGGAGAAGACAGTTCTCTCATCTGTGCTCAGGACGATTCGCGTGATGGGGAGACGATGTTGATTCTTCAGATGGATGATCCCACTCTGCTCGACACTCAGGAACTTGGCAGCGATTGGTTTGAACAGACGACCACTCTTCTCCAAGACGTCCTTCTTTAACCGATGTGCTATGAGGCTCCGCTTCTGCTCTTCGTCCTCTTCCTCGTCCAATTCATTCTTCCGTATCTCTTCCAAGTACTCTTTGGCGATTCGGAGTTTCTTCTGTTCGGCGGTTTCTTCGGCGTCGGATTCCACACCGCTCTCTTCAGAGTATTTTCGAGTCACTTCATCGTCGTCGTCCTCGTCCGAAGTTATCTCGACGTCGTCCATACCTGTGAGAATAAGCAAGGCGGGTGATTGGACGGATAACTCTAAGTTTAATCGTTCGTATTCTTCACAGTACGCGAACTGAACACTCGGATGTTCGAAACTCCTTTTGAAAGCAGCGATCTTCTAAGGAGCCGGGATCCAAGCTTTACGAGCTTGAGTCCCACGCTCGGGCCGGATTTTCCTCAGGTATCGGCTCGAGTTCAGAATTCTTCTTAAATCCCGGTATCTTCACTCACGAGTTCTTTTAGCTTTAGGTAGTGGCTTCGTCTGGGCTTTGAGGCCCCGCTTCTTCTGCACCCCTCTGGGCTTCCGAGCAGACTTGAGAAAGAATGACATCTTTCCACTCCCGGAGGTGAAATGGATTCAGAAGGCTGTCAACATGAGAAAATAGCGCAAGGCCGATCCGAAGATTCGAAAAGCTTCGCAGCACTCTAGTCTCGGTGCGGACCGGACCCACGTGTTGACGATCAGCAGTCACCCTCTCCACTATCGAGCAACAACAGAGCGCTGGCTGCTCAAGTTTTCCTCTGGGAATCCCCGGGTCGCACTTCCGAGCGACTGTTCCGGAGAGCCATCGCTCTGAACCAAGTTCCAATCCACTCCAACCCGGATGTTGGCTTCACCGTGACCCTGATCAGGGGAATTGAAGATCTCGTTCGCCGAGCCGCAGCCGCTTCACTAGGGCATCGATCCTCCTTGAAGAATTGCAACTTTCGAGGTTTCATCGGTGTCCGGAATCAACGCCTCCATGCCGGGATCCTGGTCATTGGAATATCTCGGGGGCCTGCTTCGATTGGAGCAGCGGTCTGAAGAGACCTAAAAAAGCAAGAGCGCGACTGGTGTCCTCGGAGGAGAGATACTCAGCTGTCTTGAAGCCAGGAAGCCGCGGCAACCTGGCTCTGTTGGACTGGCAATTCTCTCGCGGGCACTCGAGCGTGACAGAATATCGCGGAATCTTAGCATCTTGTATCCACGCGCGCGCGTAACCTAGCGCGCCAATCTCCCTCGAGTGGAACCGGGTATGTTAGGGCGCCTGGCACCTGTTACCGCCGCTCATCAGCTTCGCTTCTCGGAGCTTCGCGGAAACGGTCCACGATGAGTTAACGCTAGAATTTTTCGGAAGCGAGGAAACCTACAGAAATTTCGATCTATGTATCAGCCCCCCAAGTTACGCTACTTCAGCGGAATAGCGACGCATGCTCGAAAATTCCCAAACTCGCTTGTCTTCAAGCAGAGACCATCATCATCAGCGTCTCGGAAACATCCGGCTGCAGTTGTTGGTGACCCAAGTTAAGTTCGACCGACTTCACTTGGTTGCTTCTCTGTGAACGCCTCGTCGTTCCTCAGGAACACGAGCTAGACCAATAGCATTCCTGCGTTCCTCAGGGCCGGCACCGCAGAAGTCCCTGGGGACGGCGCTCGTGCCTCCATCCGAAACTTCATCTCTTGCAAGCTGTCCCTGCGCGAAAATGACCGAGAAGTGAGGTAGTTCCCAAGAGGGATGGAATAGCTTCTGCCCAAATTCACCACGATGGACAATGAGGAATATGTCGCCGGATTCTGTGCTGATTCGTGCTGCTGAATAGCGACCGCCGCTCGATCGGGTCTACCTGGCTTCCCTCTCCCAGACCGAAGGTTTAATTCGCGACTACCAGCTGGGCCACCGAGTTGCTCCCTCATTTGCTCTTCTCCCTTGCTTGATTCGGCTCTCTTCAGCGCTACTCGTTTATAGGCGGTGAGTTTACGAATGCTCTATCTGCTGATCCGACAGAAAAGTGCTCCCGATAGGCCAGGAGACTCCAGCGGGGGTCTGGGCAGTTCAGAAGATTATATCGACCACTATCCGTCTCGACTGCTGCCGAAATAGATCACAGTGTCATCAAGTGACTTGCTCAGCGTAGCCAGCGTTCGTTCAGATGTATGTCGGTTTCTCGGCGGATACGTGTGGCGCCCCTCTATTCGATGAAAGACCATATCTCGCACATTTCTCGCCTCTCAACCACGGATGATGAACCGAGACAAGCTCAACTTGGGCGGAAATTTACCCGGCGGGAGGCGGAGAATCTCAGGCTCTCTCTCTGGCTGAGCACTGCGGGTTTTTCCATGATTTATCGATGCACGAAAGTCACTCGTGCGGAGTCCGTGAAATAGAGAGTCTCAAGATGCCTTCATCGGAGACGCTTCGATCCGGAGGTCCGCATCAGTTTTTACACAGTGTACTGCTCCGCCGAGACCGCTTTGATCGGACATCGCCGCAGTTAGGCGGCTATTTTTTTAGCCAAAACTAATTGGTCGTTATTCTATACCAAGCCATTCAATGGATCTGCTCTGCGGATCCTTCCCGTGTATCATCTTTATGTTGCAAGACGGTCTCATTCGGACTCGAAGATCCGATTTCTTCTAAATTGGCGGAAAACTATTGAATGGTCGCGCGGACTCAGTTACCTGGAGCCCATCGCGATGTCGGCTCGTTATATTGACGTTTCGTGGACTTCGAACCAGACAGCTCGAGGGCATGAATGATGGACTGTAGGGAGACGTCAGCGGTATTTGCGCGTGGAGGCTGACCACTCCTCCACCCCCGCTTCCGCACATCGCGAATTTTCTTATTAGTAGCGTCATAATATGTAACGGAAAGCAAATGTTGCGATTTCCGCTGTGCTTAGCTAGGTTGAAACCTCCTGAATTATTGTGATGGTGAACGTCACTGCCGCGGTCGTAATTAATCCGCTCAGCGGAGTAATGCACCCCCTTTCGATTCGGAGCAAAATAATGATCGATGTTGCTCTCGAGGGGAGGAACATGGGGCGATAAATGATTCGCCGCGCATAGACTCGCAATGTTTTGCCATCGGCGATATCCGCCGCGCCGGCTGGATCAGTGTAGCGGTGGTGCCTGCTGAGAGAGACAAGATCCCGCTTAAGTGGTCACTCGAAGACATCATTCCCGGGGTGACGAATCTGGTATGCTCGCAGGGATTCCTCGCGCACAGTTCGAGACGTTCGAGGAAATCGCTCCGATGCATAGTAAATACGGTACGGACCCATTCGAGCCAATCATCAGGTTTTTTTACAGAGTGAATTCATTTCCAGATGTACGAAATGAGGCTCGCCGTTCCGGTGCGGCTCCTCTGTACGAAACCCGGAAAGGTTGTCGGCAACGAGTTCAATAAGCTCATCGACCACTATTCGAAGTTCAACCCTTCGCCTCTTTCGATCAAACAATTCCTCGACTTTGGTACGAGATTTGCGAGAAATCATGTGAGAGAGAGAAATCTCTGCTGCCTGAGTACCTACAACTGAAGCTGGATAATTCAGTGATTTGTGAGAGCCGTCCCGTTTCTCACTGGTCTTATGCTCTCTGGCTGGGTGGCTCATCATCTAATCAGATCGCAATGCAACCTATATAGTGTTCTTGGGCGCACTGCTGCATCCTCGATGCGACGGTCGTTTGATTCGTCTGCGCTCGTTTTATTCAGAGAAGATGCGGATTGAAGCAGCGAGTTTTAAACTCCAGATCAATGAGGGCGACTTGTGTTTTCACTTCTAGGAGAGCGAGCCAATCCTGCAGAGTCTTTCGCTTTTTTGCGTAAAGAGGTGCCGGTTCGCTTGGCAAATATTATGAAGGAAATCGAGCTCCTCCCGCCGCAGCTCTTGAAAATGCCGTCGGTCAGACTGGTGACATCGTGGTACCAGAGGAGTTTCATGGAGATCGCTGAATTCGATAAGCTCCACAAGGTACACAGGGTCCCGTTATTCAGATCATTCACTGACTCTGCCTGGTGGTCCAAGTGCGCGACTAGCGTCATTGACGTATTCCCGCGTTCCAGGGTACCCCGACCGATTCTGTGCTCAGCGATTTCACGGACACACTGACAAGAGTTCGAAATCGACACAATACCGTCGTTCAAACTATGGCAGAAGGCGTTCTCGAGCTCAAACAGCAGCACAAGAGCGACGTCTCCTCGGAACACACCATCCAATATTTCTTGGATCGATTTTACATGTCGAGGATATCGATCCGAATGCTCATAAACCAGCACACCTCATTATTCGGAGTGCAGGAACGGCCCGCGGGTGAGACTCGTTCTGGAATTTTTTACGGCGTTCCGTGACTGATCAAGACAAAGTCGAGCGTCGCGCGTCACCGGGTACTGACATGGATGGACTGTAAGGAAACGATTTCGAGTCTAAAAGGCCTAATGCATTGTTCACAGGCAATGGCAGACAAGTTGGTGTCATCGATCCCCATTGTGATATAACATCGGTCTGCCTCGATGCCTACGAGAACGCCAAATTCCTCTGTGATCAATACTACCTGACCTCCCCTAATATGATTCTCAAATGCATTCCCGAAGGTGAATTTCGCTCAGGATCGCTGTCGCTCGTTCCATATCCCGGAATTCGCCGGTGAATGATGGGTGTTGTGATTTCCACAGAGCCTCGGATCCGAATCGTCTACGTTCCCTCCCACTTGTACCACATACTATTCGAGCTTTTGAAGAATGCGATGCGCGCCGTGGTGGAGCATCACGGAACAGAGGCTGACCTCCCTGATCTCCGAGTGCTGATTGTCGAAGGCAAGGAAGATATAACCATCAAGGTACGACCCCCCTCTCCTGCAATAAAAGTCGTGGAGCTCATAGAGTTTATCTCAATCCCTTGACCGCAGCTCGATATCCTACACAAATTCCTCCTTTCCGTAGTTGAGTGACCTAGGTGGAGGCATTCCGCGGAGCGCGAGCGACCTGCTGTTCCAATACATGTATTCCACTGCACCCGAACCAAGTTCGACGAACTCTGCGCCGCTAGCTGGCTACGGATACGGTCTCCCCATATCGAGACTATACGCGAAGTAAGTGATTTCGAAGAAGGGATTTCCATATCAAGTCTGCGCTACCCGCCGATGACGACTCATTTCCCATGGAGACGCCAGATTGATGTTTCTGCTTTCATTCTCAGGTATCTTCACGGGGACTTGACCGTCACATCCATGGAGGGCTACGGAACAGATGCGCACGTTTTCATTAAAGCTATATCGAAAGACTCTCACGAGAAACTCCCTATATTCAACAAGACCTCTTCGAAACACTACAACATGGTGATCGGCTCAAATGACTGGTCGAGTCCAATAAGTGGTGAGCGTAAAATTTTGAGTTCCGGTATCATCGAGAAGATACGTTCGATCCCATGCGCATAGATACCTCACTTTTCAAAATTTCGAGAAGGTGACCGATGCGCTCCCCATCTATTTTATCAGAGAGCTCATTAGTCTAGATGAATGGATATCCGGAATCTCGCTAACAAACTCAGGATCCCCCTCGGTTCATTGTCAGATCGAAAGCCCATGTTTGAAACTTCGGTCCGATGAGTTCCTCACGTCGTGAGCAGGAAGCCAGAGAGCGCACCAGAAAGGATCTCTAGACGCGGTGCTAGAGCTCGGGTTCCCCTCAAGCGGATCTAAATATTAGTTTCAGGACTGGAAGCGACTATTTTGGAGGAGCAAAGATGTAGGTCACCGTGTGGAATCATTAACGAATCGCCTGCGTTCTGCACTGTTCTTTTCTTTTGTGGACCTCTGCTGTTCGCTAACAAGAGAAATCGGTGTCGCTATGGGCAGAGATCCTCCACCTATTCTACTGTAGTCAAGCGCAAAAGGCGACACAGTCTCATTCCGATTATGGTTTCCCCCGCCCCCCGCTAGAGAAACTCCTCAGAGGGAATCATGCATAAATTTTCCTCGAGATCCGGACCTTGTTTCTCATTCGTCCCAGAGTTCCCGGGGATAGTGGCCCCGATCTCCAAGCACAGCCTCCTCTCACTTAGAAGTGGCCGCGAGCGAAGCCGTGCCCGGAGGAGCAGCGTTTTATAGTTCTTCACCACGTAGATCGGCATTCTCCCGAGTTAGGATCGCCAGTGTCTGGCTTCTCGCCTAAACATTTAGGAACGAGAGCATTTTCGAGTAGATAGTCTGGAAATCGGCACGGGCTAATCTGTGTTCGCGGGAACACCTCAATGATTTCACGATGAGCTAGCGCCTCGACGCCAATGATCACCTGTCCAGACGACCGGTTCTAACGACGGGACTTGAAAATTCACAGGACTCGGATGGCAGTAAGCTAGCCCGCGTACGTAAGCCGCGAAATCCTGCCCAGACTCTGAGGGAATGGTGACGTGTGAATCCTATGATTAGTTCCAAACACGCAAGCTACTGTTCTGATCCCAGGTGAGTCCCTTTTTTCCATGCAACTACCAGGTTGCTCTTTCGCCTCTCGGACTGCGAGTAGCTTACTTCTAATAAAGCTCCATTCTCGTTCAGATTCAGGCTCCAACAGGACGGGGTTTGTATGCGAGCATTCTCGTCTGATAAACGATGATCTCAGGAACGCGCCGTCATCTCAAGAGAAGAGAGAGCAGATGAAGTCGAGAAATAGTGAAATCGACCCAGGCTGAGGAATTTTCGTTAGAGATTGATGATTCCATCCCGAGGACGATCCCATTCACTTATGTGGACGCCTCAGAAGATTGTCAACGGAGGGATTCTCTCATCTTACCTGGGTCTGCCGACACCATGTTTCCTGGATTATGAAGAAAACCTGCAGTGAGCGATGACTTGCCCGAAGTACCTGAATGACACGCATCTGTCCGGGTCACGCAGGATTTGAGGATAGAACAAAGAGACTTCGAGGTTCTTCACGAGGAATCTCCGCGACGGATGACGAGTGCTCGAATTAATCGAGCGAACTTTTGTGCTGAAGCCTCGGTGCAGCAAAAATCGATGTTTCCGGCGCTCTCGAACAAGACCATTGATCAGCCGTGCAAATATCACCTTGTAGAGCTTGTACCCGTCAGTTTGTGAGAAGCCACTTCGAGGGGTCCACCGACCCACGAAGCGACTGGCGTCTGAAATGTTCAAAAACACCTTCAAGTACTGCGAATCCTCTGTGAATTGTGAAAACGGAATCGTGTATTGAATTCCGTCGTTTTTCTATGACGGTTCGGCTTCTTCCCTCTGTTCAAATTCGCGTTATTCAGGTAGATAAATGGGTGCAATGTTATTTCGGTGAGATACTCACTGATACTTTCTTGTGAGATACTTGGTCTCATCACGGACGTACTTTGACGTGACGACAAAGTCGACAAAACCGGAAATAAATCCAAGGACCCGATTCCCGACCAAGGTTGTAGAATTGTTTGTTCTCTTGCGATCCATCAGGCTAGACACCTCTGGAGCGATGATCCCGGCTGAAGCAACCTGAGAGAAATCCCGACTTCCGTCGCTTGGCAAATATGCATAGACGAGCGGTTTGGATGCGAAACTCTCTGCATACCGATGAATTGCCCGGCTGAAATCTGTTCCCAGATATTGAGCCCGAGCTCTAAGCGATCCGACCGTCATGCTCGCCGGAACGGGAACTGGCCCTCTAAGGCGGAGGTTCGGCTCTCGAGTCGAGGAAACCATATCTCTGGACGCGAAAGAATACTCGTAGGAAAGATCCTCCTCCGGGCGACACTGTCGTCACTCGCAAAGCTTCCAGGGACCTTGAGTGAAAGGAGGCATCTGTTTAAACTAGAGCTGTAAGGAGAGCAGGCTTATTCGTCAAAGCATCCGCTCTTACTCCCAATGGAAAGTCCATGGCGTTCACATGTGGTCTTCGGATCATTATAGCTTTGGGTCAGTAATCACTTCTATCGAAAACGCGCGGCTCACGGGAGATCCATGCGATTTCCGAAGTATCAAAGCGACTCGATTTCAGGATTACTTCTGGAAACGCGCGCTGAAAATTTGACACGATGTTATGGTGCACTCGGTTGCTTCAGCACCGGAGGCGCTTTTTCGGACCCTCGGGCCCTGCGGCATCTTGTCAGTGTTCTCCCGTGGAGCCGAGAGAGAATCCGGACCCAGGTAGAGGCTCCTGTTTTCTTCAAGCCAGACCACCATCCGAGCTTCCTTTCACGTGACGGAGCTGAATTTCAGACTCAATGGAAACTCCGATATATGACTAACGAATCTTCCGCTTCAAAGATCCTTCTCTACACCGAAACCAATCGCGACAAGCCCGACCGCTTCCTTTGGAACACAGTGAGCCCGTCAACTCTGAGGAAGTCCAAGTTCAACAGCTCCAAAAAGCTGGTCATCATGGTTCACGGATATCTCCAAATTGTTGACATCGACAAGACCCAGCTGGTGTGTTGCTTGCAGTTTCGGATAATGCGGACCTTCCCGCGATATGGAACCCTCAGTAAACAGACCGGCCTACGACAGGTTGAATACTATCGAATACGAAACTGAACGTCTTCACCATATGTCGGAGCGAATGTACCGGGCACGATTGGCCAGCTGAGAGCCGTTCTGCGACGATCCGAACTGAGGTCGGCTTCTGCATTAGGGAAGCACTTCGGCATCCGCTGTAGGAGGAGTGGGATACCTTAGAGCCTCCGACACGCTGGATGTGTCGTTTCTAGCGTTACGGAAAGGAAAATAGTCGCTTTGCGAATCCCCGACTCATGTGTGGACAGCCCAGGGCGCTCGCATGTTCCATCAACCTCGTAACCTGATAACGAATTCTTTCATTGTGCCAGATGATCAAGGACACCTTCATAGACTATCTGGATTCCAATTTCATTTTCGTTAGTTGGAGCAGAGGGAGCATGACCGGTTATTGGACGGCGGCGGCGAACACTCGCATTGTCGGGGCAGAGATTGCACTTCTCATCGAGAAAATTATAGTAAGCGGGATCCGATTCGTGGGAGAGTGTGGAAATATGAAGTGCGAGAGAACCCGGAGACTCGAGTCGAGTCCGTAACTTTTTGCAGCGTCTGATATTTCACTTGAGTTCTAGGAAACTTTCAACTACCGAAAATCAGATATTCATCTTCTTGGTCACAGCCTGGGCGGCCACATAATCGGCTACGCCGGACGGAGAATGCCGGGCCTCCGCAGACTGACTGGTGAGGCGAATGTGCATCGTGGGCAGGATCACTCGGCGGCGGTTAACTTGGTTGAGGTCGACAAATCATGGGTACTTGAGAGAGATCAGGTGCACTGGAGCTGAGCTCACTTCAGCTCCATGATCTGACGGGGACAGTCCCGTGAGAGAGAAGAGCGTTTCCCTGTCCCGAGTCGCTAACCTCTAGAAAACCATGCTTGGCCCGCAGCACTCGACCCGGCAGATCCGTTCTTCCAAAACGGAGACCCCGAGATTCGGATTGACCCTTCAGACGGCGATTTCGTGGAAGCCCTGCACACGGATTCGAGAGTCTTCGTACCTGCCATCCCCATCGGCGGTCTGTTATCGTTTTGATTCCTCTCCTATCCCTACGGAAATACATGCTCCGAATAATATGAGGTTCAAGATCCCTGTCGATCGCGCATAGGTTACGGTATGTGGGACCCCGTGGGACATGTGGATGTGTACGTCAACGGGGGTGTTAATCAGCCTGCATGCCTGAGTTTGCAGCCGGCAAAAGTGGTACTTACTTCTACGAATGAGAAGAACCCCTTCATGTTGGCCAGAGAGCTGGTCGTATGCCATCATATGTATGTGGTCAGGTAAAACCCCAATACTCTACGCTCCCACTTGTTCTGTATGTGGCCCAGCTGGGGGTGGGCACTACTCTGATCATAGAGCAGCCTTCGAGACCGCAATCATAGCATATAGTCTGCTTCAGGTTGGTCGCTGGAATTTTCGTTCGCGACGGGAACTGCGCTCTGGTCTCGTATCAATGCGCCAACTTTACGGATTTTCTCAACGGTACGATTACCTTGAACTGATCTTATGGGACCTATTCCTGGGCTGATCAATCTCAAACCGAAATGTTCAACCCTAATGACCGGTGGGGGCCTTAATTACGCGTCGCTTAGGTCGCTGCACGGACTGTGGACCCGACACCGCGAAGTGTTTCGAGTTGGGGAAAGGCGGAGAAGCCTATAGACGCTATAGAGACGCCCATGATTGGCCTAGACGGTTTTTCATTCTGACCCATGTAGGGCCACCGTACTGCAGTAAGCAATGTCCTTCCTCTATCCTCATTGAGCTTGACCATACTAAATGCCCCGACGATATCGAGTAGAGGATCTCTATTGCAGTGCACCATTACGAGATACGTCTGCGACTTTCGAGAGAGACAGATGTCACCGAAGCTCAGATCGCCTTCGTCTTCGAAGATGTCGACGGCAGCCTGAGCATCAGAGCGATGGTCCACGACGGGTCTGTGGAGGATTCAATGACCATTTCATACACGAAGTTTATGATTTTTCAGCTGGCAATGAGCTGTATCATTCGATAATGGATCTCTGCAGGCACGTGCGGCTTGTGTCGCGGGAAGAAGCCCAAGCATGGGTCGTGGGTGTCGTGTCCACAATCAAGCCTCAAATTAAGACAATCCGGTTGAGTTGGATATCATTAGACCGTAATAAGAGATTGAAGCTTGCGCCAACTTCACGCTTGACCGTTTACTACATGAATCGTATCATACCCACAAGGTGAGTTTTTCCCGATTGTGAGAAAATACCGGCTTAGCAAAGTCCGAATAAGAACTACGCTAATTCGACGGCGAGCGCCTACGCTCACATGCTCCCTATAGGGACAAAAACAAATACTTGGAGGACTTCTGTGGACCTGAGGGACTCCTGCCGGATCGCGAAGAAATAATTTTCGCTAAATGCTGAGACAGAATCCGATGGAAGATGGAGCTTCTTAGTACTCCGGAGCGGATTTCATCTCTCCGGAGATGAAAGGAGCTGGGCTCAATCATTCCGGGATGCAATGATCGGGCTTCTTGGATGAATTGAATAAAGTGCCGACCGAGTCCGCCGGACACGATTGGTTTCCTTATCTGCACATCTCACACTCACGAAACTTTGATTTCATCAGAAAACTTCGTTTGCTTGGATCCCATCAAAATATTCTCCCCTAGTCCCCTTCAGCGTGCGGCCTGTTGAGGAGCAGGAGCGACCATGACGCAAGCCAGTGGATATCTCAACGGAAAGCCTAGACGCTGTTGAACGTAGAAATGAATATCCGAGCGATGCTCTGGATCGCGCCCATCCAGGAAGGTTTTCGTCCCCCGAGTTTGCTGAGATGATTAAATTCGGAATCCCAGCTCTGAGTACTCAAGTGCTGAGCTCTGAGTGAGCTGAATCCGGAGCGTGGCATGGGACCGCGTCGCTGACTTGCAAGGACATTCGCGATCCGTGGCGAGCTCCCGATCGGAAGGTCGCCGAAGTCGGTCGAGCCGATGTTGATCATATACAACGTTGGATCATGCGGGAAAGTATTGCCCGGTAGGTAGGTCCCTTCAGGAGCTCCGCGAATAGGCCCATCGTGGACGGCGCTTGGCTTGCATTCCAAGATTCTACCCCTCCAAGAATCTCTGACGACGAAGCCATGGGAGGTCGAAGCCGGAAGAGGATCGAGGTTTTTCCGATAGCGGCGCCGAAGCCGATAGCTGGGTCGAATCTCACTGCTAAACAAACGGAGCGAAGAAGCGCGAGGTCCATCGTGAGCAAAAAATCTCCCGAAGCGAGGACTTCGAGCACCCAAGATGGGGACCGTCCACTCGGAACAAACGACTTGACAAGTCTCGATTTGAGTTCGATGACATCGGGAGGCCCCGCCAGAGTCACCGTCAATCTCCAACCAGGTGAGGTCTCCGCATCAGATGGCGTGACCCGAGAGAGCCCTGGATACTCATCGATGTTTTTTTCATCTCATTCGCAGAAGATGTAGAGGTCTATGAGCCCCAGGAGTTGGACAGTGGCGAAGCAGAGAACGCGAAAGACTTGAAGAACCTTCACGACGTGATTCGAATTTACGGCGAGTGAGTGCTTCCTAGACGAGGAGACTTCTAGTCTCGTATCACTCTTTGAAACCGAGTTCTCTCTCTCCGAAGCGAGGTCGAGGCAGCGAAGGCTCATTTACAAGTGTTCCTCAAAGAAGTCTATAATCCGGACCTATCGATGACACCCTATAAGAGCTTCGTCATGCGTCAGACATCTTTGGCTGCGTACAGCATAGCCGCCCGAATGAAGACGAATAGACTGCAGTACCTCGACCTCCGAGATCATTTCGAGAATCTCGCCAGTCTTTTTGATTTCATGCAAATCAGGAACAGAGAGGCTTCCGGCGTGAGTACTACCCCTCGAATCAGCTAGATCTAGCTGGCAACTTTCTGATCGTGCAGAGAATCATCCTCCCTTGAGGTTATTACACGAGAAGTCTTGATCGTTCGTCTGATGTCTCCCCTAGTACCTAGCTATGTTGTTGTCCCGAATGATGGGCTTTGTCGGACCTGTGGCTGAAGTTCTAGAAGACATTGCGGGGAAGCACGTCACCGATTGGATACGCCTGGAGGAGTTCTACATGCATAAATTCGAAGAACTCCAGCGAGATGTCCTCGAGAGCCAAGATTCGATGCGCATACCACGTTTGAGTGAATTCACGTATCCGCAGCTCCTGGGTAACTATCCGATGTACGGTCAGAAAATGACGCGGTCGATATAAACTCTGACCCATGTGCCACGGTCGGAAAGTACATTCGTCTGCTGCCGCAGAACACATTAGATATCAGAGCTCATGAAGTCGTCGGCAAATTGAGTTCTGGACAGGGCTGCCGAGATGGATCCCGGGTGACCATTGAAAAAGTGATGGTAATTTAGAGTGGTTTCAGAGGTGGGACGCTTCGGCTCCGGTTTCAGTGTATGGTACGGGGGCTCTGTCGAGATGTTCATGAAGACAGCGTACCGAAGAAAAGTAATAAATCATCGTGTTGAGCGGTGCTCGCGGAACAGAAAACTCATGGTCAGCTGCACGCAGATCGGCTGTATGGCGAGACACGCGCTGATTACTCAAGTCTACGGGTGTTTCCTCTCACTTTCGCACTACTGTATTCTGATGGAGCGTGTGCGTGGAGTCGATCTCCAGAAACTCATGAAGTCCAGTACCGCCCTTTCGGAAGCGGTGTCTGCGGTGGTACTGGCTCAGCTTTGTCTTGCTGTAGAATATTTGCACTATGTTGGTTTCATCCACCGGAACCTCTGCGTGAGTTCTCTTCGGGAGCAGAGATTCCCCATTCACTCATGTCTGGGGAAGTTCTTGTCTGATCTCAGAAAGCCCCCGGGAAACCCATCTGGAATTTTCTAGACTCCTCCGGAGGCCCAAATTTGGTACTCATCTCTATTCAAGGTCGAGAATGTCATGATAACCAGCATGTGTCGAGTACGAGTAGTGGATTTCGCGCACCTCAAAGCATGCTCTGGGATGTACAGCGTCAGAATGCTCCAAACTTATCGGAAGAGAACGATCAAAGAATTCAACGATCGCGATGTTGTCGGACCATTGCCTTACCGAGCGCCAGAACTATTGCGGAGACAGGCTTACGGAAGAGCCATAGATTGGTGGGCTGTTGGCGTCATAGCTTATGTGATGAAGTTCGGGAAACTGCCCTTCCGAGGAGACACTGAAGCGGACGTGATAACCGAAATTCTCAACGGGAACATCAATGCGAAGCTTGGTGATCAAGGCAAATTCAGAGAGCAAGGGAGGGCCTCAACACCCAGGTCGTCGACGAAAGAATCCGAAAAGCTCTACAACGAGCTCGTCCAACGCCTTCTCAGGGTCCGAGTCACTTGTAGGTGCTCTGAGCTATTCATCCAGAAGACTCGCTTGCCGATTGTCTCCTACTCATGATTTCTCTATCAAAGCACGACTCTGCTCCGAAACGTATGGGGACTATAGGCAGCACGCTTTCTTCGAGTTGCTGAATTGGGAGGCATTGGAGCGCTCGGAAGAGATAATGCCGGTACCCCTAGTCACTGAGATCTTGGAAAACAGCCCTCCGATAGAAGTGAAAGAGAGTTCGACGTCGATGAAGGCTTCCCCGATCTGTATTTCTTTCGATAGTCTTCAGGTTGAGTATGATTTCGGTCGTCGTGCTTTTCTCCTCTTCATTCTCGAATCTACCGGGAATCAGAATGGTCGCGCCTTTCAGAATTGCAGCAAGCAGTTTGCTCTCTTCACTTTCAACAGTCATGGCTTCATGAAAGCTCAAGAGGCCTATCGCAGCGTCGGGACGGTCACAGCGGAAATGCTTGATGAGCCTGTTGAGCTCATAGGTTCCTTCAGAGACAACGAGCCGTATAAATTCCAAGACTGGTATAAGTCCACGAGGCTATGACGTGTGGAGCCAAGGCTGAAGTCAGAGCTGGAAGATTCTTGACGGGAGTACTTCCCATGTTGATGGTCATGAGTCATGAGCTCTAATTCTGTGATCCGGGTGAAAGATAACTCGGCTGTGTCGTGAGGGTTGTCCCATAAGGAGGAATACAATTAGGGTTGTACAGATCATGCTAAAGTAAATGTTGTAGATTGATCAATAATTATAGATCAGTTTTGTCCGGGGTCCGATCCTACATTTCAGGCTCCGGAATACCTCACATCTAGCGCGGTGGTGCAAGGGAGAGAGTGGTCTAATGTAAAATATCGTTCATTAATGTCGATCTCCTCCGCGTCGATTTCCGAGGAGGTTGAAGCCGTGGCTTGGATGGAATCGTCGATAAGGAACCCGCGGGACACTGTCGATGGCAGCAACACTTTCTGAGTTGAGGTGATCGACGTCAGCCAATCCTAGCAGGAACGAGGTTGTCACCTTCAAAGTCCCAGCGCGCTTCTTCCGGTCGTTGACGGGGTCCGCGGACCATAGCGAGCTTCCTGCTCCCATCCACAAATGATTCTCCTGCCCAATGGGAAGCTGCGTCCCGGGGCATCGTTATGGAAGATTCTCCGATTTGACCTATTCTACGCGCTCGATAGGTCGCTCAAGATTCGCATTGCTGACTCGGGCGATTGAGAAGCAGGACGGAGAGTGGATTCCGCAGAAGGCTCGGAGAACCTCACCCCGCTTTAGATTACTTGTGAGTATATTCCGTCTCACTTTTGAAGATCTACCCATCATCACATGGAGATCTCAATCTAGAATATAAAGCTTGACGTCCGTCAGAACTTCACGGTCTCTCCCCGCAGAATTTTCGGTGTCATCTGAAAACTCGGGCATATCCGAGTCTCGTATCGAGGAATAGATCTCTCACTCAATTCTCGAACATATCTTGAGCTATCTCGCTCGAAGAACCAATCATCCCGGTACCAAGATCGGCAATGCTCATCACAAAAGCTGGAAGGAGTCCTGGAGGTGTTTGGCTTCAGAAACTTTGCTGTCTGTATAGTACACACAGATTTTCGCCGTAAAAAGGTACCATAAACATGGAGAGGCATTTCTGCTGTGATAAGTCCGATATTCTCGCGCTTCAGCTCCCCAGCTCTCAAAGCTTTCGCGTACTTCTACGCTAATAATCGTGGCTAGCGCCAAGGAGCACTTGCGCGGGGAGGGTTGGTCGCAATGGAAACATCAGACAGAAGAAACTAGTTTAGATCCTCTCTTGATAAGTTTCGTTTTCACTGGACACCCTCCACACCCAAACTGTGAAGCCTGCCGTCGGCCTTCTTCTCCACACCAGACAAGTAGTGATGTCTCGATGAGCACAGGGGTCCCCTCGCTCTCCATATCTCTTTTAATGAAGCTTTTTATAACAGTGATAATAATGAGGCTTCTAAATATGGCACTCTGGATATTTGATACATGTACTGCCGTTCATTGTTCACTCCGTTGATGGTGATCCTGGATAAGCTGCCTTGTTCTTTCTACGGGAATCCGTCGGTCGACCTCCATAGCCGCCACCATCAACGGAACAAGGAACACATTGGCGGAAGACGAAGAAAACTCATCGTAAGACAAGGTTGTCGTTGGATGCGCATGATCGACAGACATCGTTTGCTGAGAAGATGGATTGATCGATCCCGCCCGAGGACAACTCGCGGGTGCGTTGATCGGTTGACAGGCTCAGAGCCTTCCGACGGTGCATAGTTCGTTTGGAGGGGAGAGGAATATAACCTCAAGTCAATATTCGATGAGCAGCTCGTAACAGCGCACTACACTGCTCAGGGTCTTCCGGAGGTGCATCGTCCGATAGGTGACTCACCTATCGAGGTAAGATTGGAAGAGGACAAGCCAAGTTGATTGTCGGACAGAGTTCTCGTACGGTAGCGTCGCAGCAGCAGGAGCAAGGTGCTTCCTCCTTCAACATACCTCATTTCTAATGCTGTTTCAGCGGGCTTACTCAGTCACGGTCCGCACGAAACAAGAGCATTGGATGGATTCAACCAATCAATAAGCCTCTACGGATTATGTCGGTATATACGGAAAGTCTGGGGGATAAGGTGGATCGTGTCGGCACGGAAGCAAACTTCACTGTCTATAGCGCCACGATTCTCGATTGGTTCATCCCTACCAAGTTCTCGACAGAGCTCGGAATCCCTCGCGGTGTCATCCCGAAAGTGCAAATGGGCCTACTAGTACAAGCCGGATTCGTATTTTTCGACGGGGGAGGAATACAACCTCAACATCCGATGATTAGCTCGTAAGAGCGCACAAGAGTGGTGATGTATCTCTAGAATCACGATGGGAGGATGCTGTTGCACCCAATGATGTAGCTTGAGTCGGCTCTGTCACAGCTCCGGAAATATCGGTCAGAGAAATCTATTTACGCGGATATGTAGATGGCGGTCTCATATGACACCGATTGGGGTGAAATGACAAAGTCCGGCGGTGTGATAGAAATCGGAGAGAGGATATACGAGTCGAGGTACAGGGTGGTCCATTTAAATCTTACGACTTCAAGCGCTATATTCTCAGCAGCCATAGCTCGAAAACGGTCGCGACTAGTGGCTCCGAAATCAGCGCAGTGTGAGATTTCTCGCATTAAAATCTCAGACTGGACTCTGCCTCTTGTCAAGAAGACAAATCTTGTCAAAAGAAGAAATGAATCCATTCATTCATTGGGAAACACATCGTTGTTGTCGACTAATTTAACAACTTCTCACCAACTTTACCATCACACACATGAGCATTTGGAAGAACAGTGATCAGGTTTCAAATCTCCCACTGCGCTGATTTCGGAGCCACTAGTAGCGACCGTTTCCGAGCTATGGCTGCTGAGAATATAGCACTTGAAATCGTAAGATTTAAGTGGACCACCCTGTAGAAGAAGCCACAGTACACTTGACCATATATTCTCCGCCGACTCTGGCTTGTGCGGTGTCGATCAATCGATTCCGATTAGAAGATTTTGCGATCATTAGGGTCGCTCAACATCATGATCGAGACGGGATGATACCGATCGGGGCGGGGCGATCCCGATCGGAGAGGGGTGATACCGGCCGGGGTCCCCTTATATCGGACGGGTTTGAATGATGCCTTCTCGAAGCTTCCATAGATCCAAGAATTAGGTGATTGAAAACAGAGCGGTGCCCCTTCTGGGAAATTCCCACAAGCGGATTCAGTATAGAGTGAAACCTGTCTAACAGGTGAGCGTCTAATGGGACCATCTAAGGTAAACATGATTAACCGGACGATACATTGGAGGAACCGACTCGATTCGTTCCCAAGTTAGACGACCCGCTAATAAGACCACCTGACTCATCGGAAAGCTTCTCTAGAGCACCGCGGCTGGCTCTGTCACGACATGTTTCACTGATGATGGCCGGTCCCGAAGGCCCCTATCTAAGGATGTACGGGTCAGAGCTTATGAGTGATACGAGGGACTTGTTCAATTCTCCCGTAGGGTGCCATTGTGAACGGAGAATGGACTCGGCTGAAGAGTAGATATCCCTCTTCACAAATCTGCCGCGGCAGGCCAAGTGCTGGTCGGAACGATGATTCGATGTGATGTTCATTTCAATACATCACCCTACTAACCCCCCTGTCCCCTACTAATTATGCGCGGCTGTCCGTGATCGTAATATTTACTGAAAACTCTTGAAACTGCGGTCAGAGCTTCGATGCTCTGCGGCGAGTCCGAGAAGCGTGCAGAGAGCGTCGCCTCTCTCACTTCCTTGCAATTTCCGATTCTTGCAAGAAGGGAGCCTTATCGATCCGTCCGTCGCGCGGCGACCTGGGCGACATCCCGTTTTTAGATTCTTCAAACATCCAGAGCATCATTTCATTTTTCGTCCTGCTTATCACCCGGCACCGCGTTCTCCACATGATGAAACAGTTCCGTTGCGAGTAAGAGCAGTCTACCTTTTACATTGTCACTCGACTATCCGCGCGACATGCTGATGAAGTGCTCTCGACAAGGAAGTCCCATGGATCGGGAAATCATCGACAGCGAGTCGTTTATGTCAGCGCTCCTGCAGCGACCGCTGGAGTATCCCGAAAAGACGCTCGGTTTGAGGCCCGTCATGGAATTAATGAGCCTTCTATTTACCCTACGATTCTATTCTTCACAGAAACCGATTTGTCCGCTTTTCCTCTTATTCGCCATCACGATCAGGACATTTCGGTCTGGGAATGCGGAAACCGAACCCCTTCCTCGCTCTTTCTCTGTCACAATCCTTCATTGTTCCCGTTTAGGTGCAGAACGAGAAGCGTGGCCTGGGGCTGCGTTCCCAGGGTCTGGTGATTTTAAACAGCCTGTCTGATACAAGATGCGGACGAGATTTGGTGCTCCGGAATTCCGATCGCTTTAATCCTGAGTATCAGAGATCCGCTTCTGAGAGGAAACCGAGACCGTGATACACTATCCTGATCCCTGGTCTAAGATAATATCGTCCCGGATTGTAACGAAACAGCATACTTCCGACGCTTTCCTTCTGATTCGAGAGGGCGGAGGCGGCTGATGACAGATGCGCCTACCTTGGATACATTCGAGATCCCGGACTGATTTTTTTCATACACATTCCGGAATCGACTGATAGCGGAGGACAGCCCTCGAGGCGGGAACGAATTCGGTGAGCATGCGATTTGCTTTACCTCAGCTCCCATCACAATGATGCTGGGCAAAAATGCCCGCGACAATTAAGACCAGACTGTTCGGATGATATGATGCAGATAGTCCCATTACAGAACCACTCTCGCTTCGCCCCGAGGAACTCGCTCGAACTTCCAGAGCAGGGCATTTCGGAGGCGGAACTCCATTGTTCCCGCAGAAGATTGTCTGCGTCTCGAAGAGATACCTCCCTTTTTCGAACTCCCGTTTGTGTGACTCTGACTTGATGCCATGTTCCTCACCGTCATCAGCCATCCTCCACGTGATATCCTTGAAGGTTTCAGGCTCGGCACGC